ATTGTGGATGAAGTGGGGTCTTGGTTGCCCTATGCTGGTTAAGGACCTTCTTTCTGGCTTTCACTTTTCCTATCTCAGGACATTCAAGAGAGAGACCCTTTGCTCTCTCAGCCCCTGTCTTCTGGAAACCCCCTCTCTGGGTTTCTAGAGTGCAGGGCCACCAACATTGCCTCTCCCCCTGAATTGTCCCCATGGGGATGGCATCCCTTTATCCTCCCACTCCTGTGTCCAGCAGAGTCTTCAGATGACTCCTACGTGTCTGCTGGAGAAGAGCCCCTGGAGGCCCCAGTGTTTGAGATCCCCTTGCAGAATGTGGTAGTGGCACCAGGGGCCGATGTGCTGCTTAAGTGTATCATCACCGCCAACCCCCCACCCCAAGGTAGGTGTAGAGCACATGGGCTGGGAGTGGTGGGTAGACAGGAGGGGAGTTGCCAATCCCTGGGCTCTCCTGATCCTCGTGTGTTCAGAGAGATTTTCCAGGATCCTCACCCAAGATTTGGCAGGGCCACCTGGGCTTCTAGAGTAAGGGCAGATCCCTCTGAATTCCTGATAGTGAGACTTGAGTGCTTTGGTCTATTGTGAGATTTCCCCTTCCTTGAGCCCCTGTGGGCCATGGTGAACTGGTTCCTGCTTCTTCCCACAGTGTCCTGGAAAAAGGATGGGTCAGTGCTTCGGAGTGAGGGCCGCCTTCTCATCCGGGATGAGGGCGACAGGCACACTCTACTGCTGAGGGAGGTCCGGGCCACTGATGCTGGGAGCTATACAGCCACCGCCACCAATGAGCTGGGCCAGGCTAGCTGTGCTGGCTCACTGGCCGTGAGACCTGGTAGGGATCCTGCAAGTTTGGGGCTGGGTAAGGGGTGAGCCGTGACCCCGGTTCTGAGGCTGTAAACCCACATTTTTCTCACTTGCACTCAAGAACACAGGCTATTAGTCAGCATGCACAGTCCCTCCTATGAAGGGGGCTGTGAATCTGTCCCTTTGAAGAAAGCATTTTTAAGTGATCCTGGCCTCAGGGCAGAAGCCAAATTCCCAAGGTACATCCCAAGCTGGCCAATTCATGAAGTCAGTAAAATTCATCTTTAGACTTCCTCTGAATGACATCTTCCCATGGCAGTTCCCTGAACTGGATCCTGTAGGAAAGGCAAATTGTCTTTGAGTTCCTGAGAAAAAGAATCTCTCAGCTCAAGTTGCTTAAGAGGCACCAAGAGTCTTTGAGGTCATTTCCTCCCTTGGAGAGCCTGGCCCCAGTAAAAAGAGAGGATTTAAAGCCCCTCCTCCCACCCCCTAGGTTGAACCCCAAGCCTTAAAGAGGCTGCAGCTGAAAGCACAATCAGGAGATGGCTGTGCTGAGGCTGCTGCGTTTTCTATTTTTATGAAAACCTTCACTTGGTGTTGGACTACTTCTTTTGGGTTTCAGCCCAATTTCTTTCTGGTTCAGGTGGGGCTGGACCTGTGTCAGTGTGCATGGCCAGCTCCACTCATTCAGGTGTCTGGGACTGACAGTGTGCTGACCCTGGGTAATGGGGAGGGGGCATTACAGAAGGAAAAGACACAAGTGCAACCCTTGTGGGGTTACCACTGGGTGTCCAAACCTAGCTTGGAGGACAGTGCAGGGCAGATAAACCCGGTGCCAAGAGCAGGCTAGCCCCTGTCATCATTCTGGATTGCCTTAACTGAGACTTGAGGACCCTGGAGGAGGCTGGGATCCAGATCATGGGGGCAGGGCAGGACATGCTGGGAGGGGTAACAGCATGTGTAGTTCTGTGCACTCAGTGCTGCAGGTGATGAGGTGAGAGCCCGTGAATGAGGTCCCAAGGCCTCAGCATCTCCATGATACAGGAGCGCATGATGGGCTCTTGTCTCAGCCTATGCTACATTAGTTCTGTTGGTTTCATGGTAAGACTTTGTGAAATGGCAGATCTTCATCTTCCTTCACTTCTATGTCCCTCCCAGGAGCCACGTTTGAGGATTTCTTTCTCTTCTTGCCCTCTCACCACGCTGAATCATTCTGGTCCCTCTGCTGCATGCTTCCACCCTTCTATCACCTCTGGGATCTGGCCTCTGACTCAGCTTCCAGCTCCTCTAGGGGGCCCAGGCCTGGCTCCAGGACTCTAGTCAATACCTGGCTTAGGCTGAGATCTGGCAAGGGGTGGGGTTGCAGGGCGCCCAAATACTGGCTCAGAGCCACTTGGGAGCCTTTTAAGGTTGGGAAGGCAGCTTGGGACATGGCAGTTGTCAGCACTTGACTGGGAGTTCTGTGTTTGCAACGTTGAACCTCCCCAAGCTTCAGTTTCCTCATTTGTAAACCAGAGATAATTATACCATCCTCACGGATGAAAGCGAATGTGCGAACGAGCTTTATGAACTGTAAAGCTGTAGACAAATGTTATTCGTTAGCATTCAGGGATAATGTGCACACAGCTCAGTTTTCCACGAGAACCTGGGAGGCACCTTGTCTTTCTCTGCCCCTTTCCTCATACTATCAGGCCCTGGGGACACTACCTCTGCTCTTGTAAAGCCCAGTGTCCTCTAGACCCTTCCTTTTTTTTCCCATCCCTGAGTCCTCAGCTTGTCATGGCATCTCTGTGCCTCCTTTTCCCTGGGGAGCCTGAAAGCCTTCATCACATTAGTTGGTTACACCAGGCATTGTAGCAGCCCCCATAAGTCAGGGTGGCTCCAAGGCCCAAGGGGCTGGCACATGGGTCCAGACTCATCACTGGTTGTCGTGGAACAAGCTGACTTTATTACCCTACAAGGCGCTGTTTGGGCCAGAGAGGCTGGATGGGAGCCAGGGACCCAGAGAGCAGCTGGTTGGCGGAACCACTGGTGGCGGAGACATTTGTCAAGGGAAGGAGTCCTAGGCTTGGAGTCTATAGGGAGTGAGGGGCTTGACAAGGGGGTCTGCAGTGGGGGTGTGGGGAGCAAGTGGAGGCAGGGAGTAGGTAGTGTCATTTGGGACGAGGCCTACCTTGAACCACCACCCTTTCTTACTACTTCCCTACCCCGACACCCAGTGCCATGGAAACCAGAGCTGGCTGCCTAGCGTTCCTGGGGTGCCCACCCCAACAGAGCCTACTTTTGAGAGCCCTTGGGGGCTCTCAATTCCTGGTGGGGAACCACAGTAACCAGGGAATGGGCAACAGAGAGTGAAGCCCCTGGTTTGGTGGACAGGGACTGTGCACGTGGAGCCTAGTGTTGACCAGCTCTGGCAGCCCCACCCCAGCTCTAGGTTCCTCCCACCCACTGAATAACCCTTTCAAGGGAGATTGGGGCTGATGGTTTGGGAGTGTGAGGCATACTTAACTGAAGTGAAGCCTTCTCAGGCTGCCGCCTCATCTGTCACATAGGCTTCTATCAAGTACTCACTGATGCTGAGTGTGCTGTCTCTGAGCAGTTTCTTCTGTTTGCAGAGTGCTGTGTACTTTTTCAAACCCTTTCAAGCTCTTTCCTTGAGCTACATTGCTCTTCCTTGAAGAGATCCATAACAGGTGGTGATATTACCATCTTTGGGAACATGAAACATACAATGCAAACATATGAAGCATATGATGACATGGAGCTAGCATCAGGCCAGCAGCCTTTATTGAATACCTGCAGTCTTCCTGGGAATATTATAAGCAATAAGTGATTTAGAGTGGCTAGTGTGACTGAGGAACTGAAGTTTTCATTTAATGTCATTTTAATTGCCGTGCACGTTAAATGGCTAGTGGCTCCCCTATTGGGTTGCTGAACTCCCAGGAGCATGGGGCCGTTAGAGGCTGGAGTCCCCCAGGCAGACCCTCCCAACCACTGCACTTTCCAGTCCCTTTTCCTGCTACTCTGAAGAGCTTCAAGGCTAAGATGGGCTTGTGCTCCTGAGCTCGTAGGGAGAGGATTGCCCAGGCCTCTGTAGGTGGTTTGATTGGGGGTTTTCTTTGCTTCCTTTATTGACAACCCCTAGCCCTCTGTTGTGGCCATGGGCCTGCTGTTTCCTGAATATCTTGGCTCCCCATTACCATGGGCTCTGGTAGGAAGCCCTCCAGTGCTGGTTAGGAGGAAAGGGGCAGTAGGGATTCCATGTACCCTGCCTCCATCCTGCCACCTGCAGGTCTTCTGTGTTTGAACCCAAGATTTTACCTTTTTCCAGCCAAGACTTTGGCCTCCTCACTTTGCCTTAGCTGATCACAGTTTTCCAATCTGTAGAGTGAGGCTCATCCTAACTGGTAAGACTTGCAAGGCTTTGTGGGGAGAGTGAAATGGTCATGAATACTTGGGCCAGGAGACAGGGCTAATCATTCTGGTGCCGCTCGTATGATCACCATTATCACAAAAAGAAGTTGTTTATTGGGGGGCCATGGATTAAAAAAGGAAAAAAAGAAAGTCATGCCAACAACCCCTGTCTTCCTCCTGCCCTGGCCTTAGGCCACCAGCTGCATAGGTGCACGTTCTCCTTGGCAATGGGAATGGCTGCTGATGGGAGGGACCTTGGCCTCTGTTGTCCGTCATCTGGACAGCACCTGAAAAAGCAGGGTGGCATAGTCTGCTCTACCAGGCTTAGCCCTCCTTCTTCCTCCCATTAGTTAACAGCAGGGTTACCCTGTGGGCCCATTCTCCAAAACTGTTACCTAGGATCAGAACATGTCGAAGAGCAGAGACCTAATTTACTGTGGGTGCAAACACTTCATCTAATCTAGATCAGCTCAACTGTAATTGTGAGAAATTCAGCACTTGCCTGCTGGGTTAGGCTTGCCATATGAAATTCTCTCTGATGATTTGTAGGTTTTATTTATTTTATCTTGGGTGGGTTTTTTGGCAGTACTAGGATTTAAACTCAGGGCTTTGTGCTCTACCGCTTGAACCACACTCCCAGCCCTTTTTACTCTAGTTATTTTTGGAGATAGGGTCTTGCTTTTTTGCTCAGGCCATCCTGGACCACAATCCTCCCAGTCTCAGCCTCCTGCATAGCTGGGATGATAGCTGCACACCACTGTGCCCAGCTATTGGTTGAGATGGCATCTTGCAAACTTTCTGCCTGGGATGGCTTTGAATGGCAATCCTCCTGATCTCAGCATCCCAAGTAGCTAGGATTATAGGGGTGAGTCACTAGTGCCTGGCTCACTGGTACTTCATGAAATGGTTGCTGCAGTGATGCACCATAGAAAAGTGAGGGGAAAGGAGTGTGCAGGCTGCCAGGGAGCTGAGACTTTCCACAGAGTACTAACATGACCATTTCCCCTGAACCTGACTTAACTATTTACCTGGGACAAGAAGAGGAGATGCACTGAGTATGTTTCAGGTTTGGTTTAAAATATGTGAAATATGCCAGGCATGGTGGTATACCCTGTAATCTGAGCAGTCAGTAGGCTGAGGCAAGAGGATCACAAGTTCAAGGCCAGCAAAACTCTGTCTCAAACAAAAGCGCCAAAGCCCGTGAGAACCTATTGAGGCAGTGCAGGTATGGAGGGCAGGGATGAAGGGCCAGGTCACATGAAAATGCTAACTAACCTCAACATGTTCTTTATTCCTCCCTTTTTCAAAAAAAAAAAAGCCATAGTGAACTCCCTGTGGCCTTCAGAGTAAAGACCACGCTCCTAGTTGAATCTTTTTTTTTTTTTCTTTTGGCAGTTCTGGGGTTTGAACTCAGGGTCTCACGCTTGCTAGGCAGGCACTGTTGCTGCTTGAGCCACTCTACCAGCATAAAGACCACACTCCTTAAGCTGGCCTGTGCCTTCTGGATCCGTAGGGCTGGAGGGACCGGAAACCTGAGGATGCTCCGAGGCAGGAGGCAGCAGAGGCACCTGCTCTTTCGTTGTGCTGCTGGCTTATTCCTTCTTTACCTATCTCTGTTAACAGACGGTTGAGCTACAGGCCTCCACATATGTGCTTTTTGCCTCTAAACACTTGTTCATGCATGCTCCTCTGCCTATGCTTTTCCCTTTTTCCTTCTTCAACCAAACTCTACTTCCACTACAAACTCTTCCTTCAGTTTCTTCTTTTTCCCTGATCCAAAAGTTATCTGTAGTTCTCCACAACATTCCTTTGACCCTTATCTTCTCCTCTCTTGCCACCTTGTCATTTATTTGTGCTTGCTATTCTTGTCTGTGTATCTGGCTTTTTTTCCCTATCAGCTAAAGATTCCTGAGGACATAACTGTGCCTTCTACATTCCTTAACCATTACAGCCACACCTGGAGCCTGTCCTGGACATCCGGGGACTTTGTGGACCACAAACTCTAGGTGTGAGGCGGTAGTTTGGGCCCAAGAGCCTCAGGAGCTCCAAATCCTGGTAGCAATTGAGTAACACACAGAAGCTGGGTGGACATGCTGCAATGGCTTAATGAGGCTGTGCCTGAGAGTAGGTTGTGATGGCAGAGGAAACCATGGAGCTGTGGTCCTCAGTGTGATACCCAGAACAGTAGCATCATGTCCCTTGGGAGTGTATTAGAAATGCAGACCCTTGGCCCAGTCCAAACCTACTGAATCAGGAACTCTGTGAGTGGATCCTAGCATTCCATGGTCTAAGATGTTTTCCAGGTGATTCTGATCCATAGGAAACTTTAAAAAGCACTGCCAAGGAGATAGGGACCTGGCTTAAGATGAGAAACCAGCTGGTGCAGTGGGCAGCACAAGGGCTGTGCTCCTGGTTTCATGACTCTGCTCTGAACAAGCAGTCAAGTGTGCTTAGTGAGACCACCTCTTAGAGTTGCTCTCCTCCCATGAGGATCAGCAGTGGTCTCTAAACTTTCATGTGCATAGACATCAACTGGGTGCTGTTGAAAATTCATTTCAGAAAATATGATTCTGTAGGCTGGGTAAGGCCCAGGAATCTGTATTTCAAAATAAGCTCCCAGGTGGTGCTGATGTGGATGGTTCAAGAATCATTCTGATAGTCTTGATATAAAGGACTTTGTGTGGTGTCTTTCACATGCTAGATACTGTTAATGGTAGCTGCAGCTATCTTTGCAGTGAGAACACAGAAGGGGACATAAACAGTGACGTTAGGACCAGTGGGATGTACTGATCTGGGGCGGAGGCGGGGGGCGGAAATAGTTCCCTGATTTGTGGGCTCCCTCTCTCCGGTGTTTTCATTAGCTGGGGTTGAAAAGATAGATATCGGCCTAGGGTCATCATGGGGGCAGGGGACAAGTGTGAATGGGACATCTGTGCCCCACTTCTTGGTTAATATAACTGTGTCTCGCACAGTGAAAGCTGGGCTTATGGATGGAGCAGGGCTGGAATGTTAGGGACTAGCTACAGTGGTGGTTTGGGGGCCAGTAGACCCTGGTATAAGGCACCAGGAGCTTCAGTCAGCCTACTTGGTCACAGTTTTGGGGTATGGTAGGTCAGGGGCCGCTACCTTGTCTCAAAGAGGCCTAGTCCTCCCCATCTGCAGTCTGAGCCTCCTGCCTGGGCTGACAGTTTCTCTGTTCAAGGGGGCTGGAGCAACTGGGCTTCATCTATGACTTGATCTCCCCAGGGTGCTATTCCCCCAGCCGCCACAAGGGTTCTCTGAGGCACCTGCAGACCTTGCCAATCCAGCATAAATCTCTGCCCCACCCTCCAGTCCCTGGGTCCAGGAGCAACCTCAGCACTGTCCAGCCTGGAGGTGACCCTGGAGAAGAACGCCAGGCTCCATAGAGGAAGAGGGGTCCCCTCCTCCGGGGGAGGTTCCTTAGCATCAGCTGGGGCCTCCAGCAGCAAGCACTTCCCCACCCCTCCCTCAAGTCAGTGGCCCTGAAGCAGGGGCCCTTCTCTGCCTGACCCCCACCCCCTTTCTTACTGGCAGTACTGGGAAACACAGGTCATAGCTTGGGAATGTGGCCCTGGGTGGAGTGAAGGGATAGCAGGAGGGAGGACATGTGGCCCCTGCTTAACACCTTGTTGCTTGCTATTTCCAAGCCCTTTCCCCAACCCAAATACAAACAAGTGCTAGTTAGGAGGGATGTTGGTGATGAAGCAGCCCCATGGGCTGATAGGTGAAGGGCAAATTGCTAGCAGGTGCCTAGCAGAGCCCGTGGGAGGGTTGGGTGTGGGCCCATGACCTGGGGTGGCATGACAGGACCAGTGAGGTAGAAGTGGGGCTCTGAGACTGCTCAGATGGAGTGGGGTATCTGTGGAAAGGAGGGTGAAGGTCCTGACAGTTCTCTGTTTCTCCATGCCAGAGAAAGCAGGGTGTGGCTGGCTTTAGGATTGAAGCTGATCAGTGAATTCCCAGGTCGGGGATCTTGGTGGCTTGGTCAGGGCAAGGGGCAGCATAGAGCCATTTGCCATTGGCACCTCCTTTGGTGGACTTGTTAGCACTAATGGGTCTTGAATGCTGCAATGTAGTGCCACCCACTACATCTCCCTCTAAGGACCAAGATTCCCACACCTGGAGCCAAGGCCAGGTTAAGGGGCTCTGCTCTTGTCAGTAGCCTGAGCTGTAAGGAGAGGAAAGGCAGACCACTTCTTGGGAATGAGCAGTGGCTAAATTCAGCCTTTCAGCTGGGCTCTGCCCCTCCCTCTGCTCCCCCTCGGTTCCAGGCCTGGCTGCCTGTGGTCTCAGCAGGCACCACCTTCTGAGCCAGCGCTTGCCTGCCTGCCTGCCTGCCTGCCTCTCGCTGGCCAGTCCCACCTTCTACTTCCCCTCCCCCAGGGGCGCTTAGTTCGGGGCCTCAACTAGGGCAGTGAGTGAGTGGGGCTGGGTTGGCTGGGTGCTTGCTCCCTGGGGAACCAAGGTGGGTGGGCAGTGGGCAGGCAGCAGGAGGGCCTGGTGCCAGGGCAGAGCCTCCGGGAAGGTGCAGGCTGGGGTCCGTGTGCAGTCTTGGGGTGAGTTGGGGTACAGCTCGGCTGGGGGCTTGGGGTGGGAGAGCCAGGAGGAGGGGTCAGGGACTGTGGCAGATCTATGTCTGTATTTGGCAGTCGGATAGGAGCCAGCTCAGCGAGGCTGGGCTCCTGGCCAGTTGCAGGGGAGGGCGTCAGGGCTCTAGGACACCCCTCCCCCAAGCTAGACTCCAGTGTCCCCCTCTTCTTTCCCAGGCTGAGCTGCCCTTTTCTGTGGAAGACTCTAACTCTGCTTTCCCTTCCCCTGAGAGTTTGGGATTCATGCTGTAGGGCTAGGGGCAACAGGTGCCCCTGGGGTGTCTGTAGCAGGAAGCTGAGAAGGGAGGGGGGAAGGGCAGGCTGACAGGACTGCCTCATTGGCCCTGGACCGAGGTCAGGATGGGGTTTGTCTGAGGTGTGCTTTTCTCTGCACAGGCCCAGCTTGCCTAAGAAACCAGTGTCTTGGTTCTGATATCCTAGACACCACCTGCTTTTGGAGCCTGTGATTCCTCTGTGCCAGGAATGTAAGGGTTTCCTGTTCCATTGGAATTCAGGGTCCCCCTCTAATGCCCAGGAATGATCCTTCTGCTGGCCGAATCCTTTGCACCAGGTCATTCCCTGTAGTGTCCTCTCCCAGAAGGAGCAGTAGGGTCAGCGTTGGCAGGATCTGAGGCAGAGGAGGAATCAGGGTTCAGGGAGAGGAAGGGCCTGGGGACAGGGCACACAGCACACAGAGCCCAGGAGGTAAAGTCAGGGCAGGGCCCACAGGAGCTGCCTCAACTCCTGGGCTCTGTGCAACATTCTCAGCTAGCTCTCCATCTCTCTTCCCCTTCCTCCTCCGGCATCCTCTCTCTCTCTTCTCCAGGAGGGTCCACATCCCCTTTCAGCAGCCCCATTACCTCTGACGAGGAATACCTGAGTCCTCCAGAGGAGTTCCCAGAGCCTGGGGAGGCCTGGCCCCGAGCCCCCACCATGAACCTCAGTCCCAGCCAGGATCGCCGTTCTTCTGACACTGGCTGCAAGGCGCCTCCCACCTTCAAGGTCAGATCCCCAAGGCTGGTACCCAGCCCCTATGTCCCCTTAATCCTTTTATGTGCCTCTTTGTTCTTGGGGCTATGCTTAGGCCCCATTAACCTCTCTTATCCAGAGCCAGCCTCATTCAGACTGTTATGGAAGAGACCTCAGTCCCAGGTCCCCCAGTGCTCTGTCCTGTCACCCTTGACACTTTGGGGTCCCCCTTCAGGTCTCACTCATGGACCAGTCAGTAAGAGAAGGCCAAGATGTCATCATGAGCATCCGTGTGCAGGGGGAGCCCAAGCCTGTGGTCTCCTGGTGAGTAGCAACCACTTACACCACCTACCAGCATCCTGCACCCCAGGCTGGGCCCAAGAGCTGGCTTTGGTGGAAGGGAGCAGTCTTAGAGGACTTCCCTGAGGAGCTTCACACCATGGTCAGAAGCACCACTCCCCAGCACAACTGCCCTTTGCCTTGGTGTTTAAGGCTTATGTAGGGCTCCCTTTGTGGTGAGGTGTTGGAATAATAAATGGTCTTGCATCTGCCTAATTGGGACAAATGGCCTGGACTCCTCTGGTGCTGGAGAAGTCTGCCCATCCCCACCCCATCACTTGATGCAGGGTGACTTTTGAGGCCTACACAATGACCAATCCTGTGCTGGCCCAATAATCACAACTTGTTTCTAAGCTGCCCAAGGAAACCTAGAGTTAAATGTGGGTCTCAGCTGTGGCACCTCCCTCATTCTGGGTGCCTGGAACATCCATTACTCAGCATGGTTTTTTATTGGTTTGGGTTCTGTTTTTCATTTTTAATTGATTGTCTTATCTCTGCTTTAAACATTACAAGTTCTTTCACATCCCTTTTGGGAAGAAGGAAAGCAATTTTCTGCTATAAATAAATGAAAATCATACATGAGGAAATTTAGGAACTATTATGAGGTAAACAGTAAGGCTCTACTCCTAGTGTAGTGGGTTCTGAGAAGGGAGAGATCCAGGTGGACCCAGGAGGTCTGAAGGTTCTTGGAGGTGGTGACCAGGCAGAGTCAGGGTGAAAACCTAGCCCCGGCACCAGGGCTACCTGAGGTTAGAGAGATGGATTTGGGGAGCTAATAAGTAATATGGGGAGGGAGAGTCCTGCATGGCTGTATGGCCCCCTTCACTGTGCATGCATGTCAGGACCTGAGCTCTGGGACTGAGTTCTTGTCCCTCTAACAGGCTGAGAAACCGCCAGCCTGTGCGCCCGGACCAGAGGCGCTTTGCAGAGGAAGCCGAGGGAGGGCTGTGCCAGCTGCGGATCCTGGCTGCTGAGCGGGGAGATGCTGGCTTCTACACCTGCAAGGCAGTCAATGAGTATGGCGCTCGGCAGTGTGAGGCCCGCCTGGAGGTCCGAGGTGAGAGCCTCACATTCTCACAAACCCTTCACCTGGCCTCGGCCCTCACCCTACTGACAGCTCTCACACAAACTACACAGTTAGAGGATGCCACACTAAAAGGGTTGTGGAAGTCCCCTAGTCCTGCTCATATTGTAGTTTAGTAAACTAGGCCCAGAGAAAGGAAGCAACTTCCACAAGGCCACAGAGCAAATTTGCTCTACATTCAGCTCACTATAGCTACACAATACTACCTTTCTTGGGCTCCTTTGCACCAGCCCTGACATCAGTCAGAGACCTTTCTTCCTGCAGGCAGCCTTCCTCTCTCTACACTCTTCTAAGCCTTGTTACCCTGCTCTGCCCAGGCCCCTCCTGCACACCCACACCCTGCTCGTCTCTCCCCCTTGCTCCCTAACCATCCTATTTCTGTGCAGATGCTCTTGTGGTTGGGGATAGCAGTGGGGAGTCTGATGGCTGGACCCGTTCGGAGGGGCCCTTGGTGACTTGGGCATGCAGCATTTCAGGACTCCAGGGGTGCCAGGGTTATCAAAGCCCTAAAATGGGAGAGAGCTGGGTCCCCAGAGTTGGGGACATTAGGCAGGGATCTCTCAGGTAACTTGGATGACAGTACCTAGATAAACTGCCCTCGGAGGACTACTGTTTTCCTCCCCATGGGCTGGCCATTTGCCAGGCCTCCCTCCTTTCCTTCCCTGTGATGGCACAGGACCAGGAACCTCTCCTCAGCTCCTCACTCTGCCATCATTCCTCCCCACCTCCCCTGGGGCTCACTCCCTTCAAACCTGGCAGAGGCCAGCTCTGGAACTACCCAAGAGACTCCTGGGTACCTGTTGGAGCACTGGCAATAACAGTCATGGTCCCTCTGCCAAGACTCATCTGCCTCCCTGGTGCCTCCCATTCTACAAATGCTACCTCTTTATAGCCTCTAAATTCTTCAGCCCCCACTCCTCAGCCTGCTCCTTCTCCTCCAGGGACCAGCCTTCCTCGCTTCTCTGTGTTAACCCACGTCTTGGTGTTTCTCTCTCTTTGGGATTCTTCCTGACATCCCACAGGCTTTGGGGTATTTCTGCTGCCTATGAATGCCTCTCCCCTGGTTTCCCAGGGTTTTGCCTGCCTAGGAACCAGGCTAGCCACTGGCCCTTCCACCCCAGGGCTGGCTGTGGGGAGCTGAAAGTGACAGTGCTGCCCTGCAGTTTTAGAGGCAGCTCTGTAGTCAGAAGGGCCCTAGCCAGGTCTGTGCGCTTGGGCGTGCGCGTGTGCTGCACTAACCTGCCGCTTGCTGACTGAGGTTTTTGTCTGTACACAGGCGAGTGAGCTCAGGGGGCCACCTGCGCTGCTCCCGCTACCCTCCGAGCCGCGCCCCTGTCTCAGGCACTTCTCGGGACCTCGCTGTGTTTCACTGCCTCCTGCCCACAGACCCAGCCGGCCCGCCTGGCCCGGACCCATCCCAGGCTCCCCTACCTTCCCCAGTCCATGCAGCACCCTAGGGTAGCCCACGGGCCCCTGTGGACCCTCCCTCCCCAAGTGGGACACGTGACTGTGCAGGCCAGGAGGCCCCCAGATGAACTGAGTGCTGGGAAGGGGCAGTCAGGAGGAGTTTTAAGCACCCCCCAACCCCCCATGGGGAGCACCAAGCGAGTGCATGTGCTATGCTGCTATAGGCCACTGTCTGTCTATCCGTTTGTCTGTCTGTATGTCTGTGACAGTCAGGAAAGGATGTCTCTGAGCTGGGGTGGGGCAAGACAGATGGGAGAGGATAGGGCATGGCAGCTACAGGATGGAGGGGCAGGGGTTGTGGACAGGGGCTCACTGGGAGGAAGCAGGGCACTGACTGACCATTCCAGAAGTGGGTTTCAAATGGCACAATACTTTCTATTCCACAAGAGACCAAAAGCCAGAGGCCCCAGCTGAGCCCTGGCCCTGACAGGGTTAGGGCCCAGTGGGGCTCCCTCATTCACAGCCAGGGCTGGGGGTGCTTGATGCTCTGGGAGTGAGGGAGGTAGCCAGGCTTTGTGCAACAGTGGAGCCATAATGGGGGGGTGGAGGTATTTGGAAACATATTTCTTAGCTCAAATAAAGTCCAGTTTGTACCCAGCTGGTGTGCTGTGTTTTCTTTTCCGCCGCCGTTGCTGCCACCACATGGTCTTCATGATTTCCCCCTCCCTCAATTCCCTGTCATCTCTCAGGAGTTCTCCCTCCCTGGGCTAGATTGGGTTTCATCTCAAAGCCAGGTCTAGAATCTCCTTGCTGTCCTGGCCCTGGGTGGGTGGGACTTTCCCTTTCTCCAGAGGAACAAAATGCATCTCTCTCTCTGTGTCTGTCTCTCTGTGTGTGCGTGTGTGTCTCCCTCACCCTGTGTGTCTCTGCTCTGTGTGTGCCCCCTGTGGCTGCCTTCCCCCGCCCCAGCACACCCTGAAAGCCGGTCACTGGCCGTGCTGGCCCCCCTGCAGGACGTGGACGTGGGGGCCGGGGAGATGGCGCTGTTTGAGTGCCTGGTGGCGGGTCCCGCAGACGTGGAGGTGGACTGGCTGTGCCGTGGCCGACTGTTGCAGCCTGCACTACTCAAATGCAAGATGCATTTCGATGGCCGCAAATGCAAGCTGCTGCTCACCTCTGTGCATGAGGACGACAGTGGTGTCTACACCTGCAAGCTCAGCACAGCCAAAGGTAACTACTCTCTCAGGCCCTAGGGCTGCCATAGACACCCAAGCTGAAGGGAGGGGACTGGAGATAAAAGAACCGGGTGCAGAATAAGAAATCCAGGAAATGGGACTCCTCCTGATGCAAGTGCAGTGAGGTGCAAGATAACACAGGACTGTAGCCTCAAAATAACGAGTCCTTAGAGTGGAACCTGGGACAGAGGTGCTGCTCTTATGTCCACTGTTCCCTTCAGGGAACAAGTCCATTGTGATTGTAGCACTGGACTTGAGTTCCCATTCTTGCCCTGAAAATTGCCAACCACATCTCTTTGGACATGTCACTTCCTCTGTCTGAGTTTAGACTATTCATCTGTAAAAAGGGATCATGCTAATTCTTTGTAGGAGGATTGGTAGGATTATCGAGATTGCTTATGCAGAGAACAAAGCACAACACCTGGTGAAGGGAGGCACCAAAAAGATGCCAGCTGTTATTATCGATAATATCTCTGACCTGGTCCTGTTCTCCTTGAAGAGCAGAGATTATGACACCTGCCTTCAGGTTGTAGGTGATGAGCACAGGAGGTGAAGCTGGAGGAGGTTAGCCAGCAGCAAGAAGCATCAGGTCATCAGATGCTTTTGGAGCTTGGGGTAGAGTGAGGCCAGGGATATCTCCTCTGGGTGGGGGACAAGTGGGAGGAAGTGTGGGCATGGCCAAGCTCAGAGAAGAGTTCTGAGACTGGGGCTTGTGGAGGCAGTGGGCTTAGCTGCTAGGACCTTTTCAGCTGGGCCGGGCTTCATCTTAGTTGGGCAGAATGAGGTAAGGGGAGAGTTGGGCCAGGCCTTGCGTTCCTGTGGCATCCCTAGCCAACCTTGGCAGCCTGCTGCCCATCCTTGCAGACCCCCACCCTGTAAGAAGGCCCAGTCTGTGTATCTTTTCCCATTGCCTCAGTCCTCATGCCTACAACCGTTGCAGGCTCTGCCCAGGCTCCCTGAAGCTGGGCAGGATGTATGAGGTGGAGTGCCTGGGCCTCCACAGCCTTGCCTACCCCAGTACTGCTCCCCTTCCTCCCAGATGAACTGACCTGCAGTGCCCGGCTGACTGTGCGGCCCTCCCTGGCACCCCTGTTCACCCGGTTGCTGGAAGACGCGGAGGTGCTAGAGGGCCGCGCTGCCCGCTTCGACTGTAAGATCAGCGGCACTCCACCGCCCTCCGTCACCTGGACTCATTTTGGTATGGCTCCCTACTCCTCAGATGTTGAAAGACACCCAAAGTCCAGCCAAGATGGGGTGTGGCCAGAGGGCAGGGCCCCCCGTCCCCCCGCCCCGCAGTAGCATTTGGTCCCCCCCACCTCCAGGCCGCCCCATAGAGGAGAGCGAGAACTTGCGACTTCGGCAAGATGGGGGTTTGCACTCACTGCACATTGCCCACGTGGGCAGTGAGGATGAGGGGCTCTATGCAGTCAGTGCTGCCAACACCCATGGCCAGGCCCACTGCTCTGCTCAGCTCTACGTGGAGGAGCCTCGGACAGCTGCCTCAGGCCCCAGGTACCTCGTTGGACCCCAGGTGTTGCAGCACTGTCTCTAAGGTGCCCTGTCCTGTGCTGGGAGACATAGCCCTGTGCCTCTGGACAGCTGTGTGGTTCTTGCAGTTCAAAGCTGGAGAAGATGCCGTCCATCCCTGAGGAGCCAGAGCAGGGAGAGCTGGAGCGGCTGTCCATTCCTGATTTCCTGCGACCACTGCAGGACCTGGAGGTGGGACTGGCCAAGGAAGCCATGTTGGAGTGCCAGGTGACAGGCCTGCCCTACCCCACCATCAGCTGGTTCCACAACGGCCATCGCATCCAGAGCAGCGATGACCGGCGCATGACACAGTGTACGTGTCTGGGAAGGGATCCTTGGGACTGTTCCCTCCTGAAACTTGTTGGCTTTCAGGGGCCTCTCTTCTCCCTGGCCTCCCTCAGAGTCTGCCTTTTGTGGTCTTGCCAGAGATGAGGTGCCTGTAGAAGGGAGCCCTTAGGGGCTGTGAAGTCAGTGTGTCCCTCCTTGAACTCACACAGTACCCACCTGCTGAGTCACTCCTTGGTGGCTCTGTTAGCATTTACTGGACAGGCAGGATAGCCAGCTGCTGACCAGCACTTGAACCATGAGCAGGTTGCAGAACCCATCTGTGCTTCAGTTTCCTCATCTGTAAATAGGTTGTTACAGGAATTAATCAGTTCATATATATAAGGCACTGAAATCAGGGCCTGGCACATAGCAAGTGATCAATAAATGGTAAATCTTATTACAAATGCCACCATTCTCAACAAATGCCACCATTCTCACCACTGTTGAAGTAGTGCTGCCCTGGCTTCCTGAGAAATTTTAATGAAAGGGCTGCTTTGGGCAAGGTCTGGCTAGCAAAGGAGGTATGGTCAAGGTTGTTAAGTAGCAAATAAGGAAACCTAAGCAAGGGGAAATGGAGAGAGACTTGTTTGGGTTGGTGCCCTCTACTCCTGGGTGTTTTTCCTGGAGAGCACCTGTGTTCCATCCAGGAAAGAATCCGAAATCTCATGTGAGGTGCTCCTGCCTCCTTTAAGTCAAACCCGCACTGTCACCCATGATAGTTTCCTCCAACAGCTGCAAGTGATCATCTCTTCTTTAGTGTTTTCTATGTGCCAGACCTTAACTGCCAGAAATCTGACAAGAATAATCTTACCTGGCCATAGGCCTGTGAAGCAAATACTTCTGGCCCTGTTTGCAGAAGGGGAAACTGAGACTTAGGGCAGTACAGGGACTTGCTCAAAGGCAAGCAAGGACCTCCTAACTTGTGCCCATTGCCTAAAGGATGCTCCTAATCATGCATGCCCCATTCTTCCAATCCTACCCTCACCCTTCTCTAATTGCTACCCAGACAAGACCCCTGGTTCTTGCCCTCAGCCCCCTCCAGCAGCTGTCATTGCTCAGCCATAGGCCTTCCTTTGTCCCCATCTGTTTTGAGGCCCTGGGTAGGCATCTGTCTCAGGATCTGAGCTAGCATCTCTGCTTCTGCCTGTATCTGGGATCACTGGCAGCCTTTGGCATCTCTTCTCTTATAAATAGTATCAGCAGAGATAAATGAATGGGTGACTGTTGTATGCAGAGATAACCACTAAGAGAAGGGAGGGGTGTTTGGGGATATTCCTGATGTGAAGGGGGACAGTGCCTCTTCCTTTTCATGTCCTCGCCAGGGACAGCCAAACTCCTTATCATCAGGGAGCAGGGTGTAAGGAAAGAGCTTTGGAATGAGATGGAGCTAAGTTCAACTCATGGCTTCATCATTTATTAGCAGTGTGACCTTGGGCAAGTCAATTAATATTTCTGACCTCATTGGTAAATGGGGATAATTCCGTAGAGTTGTTGAAAAGTGTAGGGTGGGAAAAAGCATGTCAAGTATGTGACATAGACTGGGCCCAGAGCAGACAACTCATTATTATTTGTAATATAATAGATATTTGGCACTTAATGCCTGCATGCCAGGTATTCAGTTCTCGGTGGGATAAGCAGATCTGGACAAAAACAGCCCTGTCTTTAAGAGGATGAACTGGACAGGAGCTATGACTCATGGAAGTAAAGAGGAAGAATCCCCCAAAGTGGTGTGGGCCCAGTGCCCATCAATGCATGCCCAGTGATGTGCTGGTGAGAGAGCTGGAGTCCCAGGGAAGAAGTCAGGGCCCGGGGAGGAGAGGCCGCAGCAATGCAGGGTGGGCTTCTGGGCTACACTCACTTGAACTGTCTTGAGGGACAAGGAAGCCTTAGGTAAGAGGGGAACATTCCAAAAGTGAGGAATTGAGTAAGCAAAACCTGGAGTTGGAACTCCTGAGACTTGTTCGGGGACCTGGTGGTCTGTCAGGGTCAAAACACGAAGTAGCAGCGGGCATGGCTAGAAGAGTTTGGGCTTTGCCCTCATGGAGAGTGTTCCTAGGCTTCTGTTGGAGATGAACAGACAGGCCATGGGATGGAGAAGAGGGGTCTGGGAGTGGAATCTAGGAACAAAGCTTTGTCACAACTTTGACCTAGAAGTTGTTGCTCTTTTGAGGTAACAACCTCAAAAGAATGAGGAGACAGTTAACAAGGGGCAGGGACCCCTGAAAGTGACACGGTGTGGAAGGAAGATGCTAGATGCTGGCCTGAAGTGCTGGAGGGACAGCAAGAGGGGTCAGGATTGCAAGTGCAGACTTGGCTTTGCTGCATGAATGACATACTTCTGGCTGCCTGTCCTTCCCTTCCCTTCCCTTCCCCCCTTGCCTTCTCTCTGTGGAGGGTGGCATGAGTGGCCAGGCCTAGGATAGCAAGGGGGCCGCCCCACAAAGTAACCTTCTAGCTTGACCCCCATGTCATTGTCCCTCCCCCACCAGACAGGGATGTACATCGCCTGGTGTTCCCTGCTGTGGGACCTCAGCATGCTGGTGTCTACAAGAGTGTCATTGCCAATAAGCTGGGAAAAGCTGCCTGCTATGCCCACCTTTATGTCACAGGTGAGGCAGGCATCCTCCTATGCAACTGCATCCTGATCTCCAGCACACCTAGAGGTACCAGGGAGGGGCCTCCAAATGAGTTCCCTCTCGTCCTGGGGACCATCTGGCCTTTCTCCTCCCTGTGGCTGAGACCCCAGTCTCCAAGGCTTAGAGGTTTTTGTGGAGCTGTTGGGCCATAAAGGACCCACAGATCTCCAACCTGTGGCTTTCAGATGTGGTTCCAGGACCTCCAGATGGCGCTCCACAGGTGGTGGCTGTAACAGGGAGGATGGTCACGCTCACATGGAACCCCCCCAGGAATCTGGATATGGCCATTGGTGGGTCAGGGTCACTCAGGGCTGAGGGTGGACAGGGAAGGCTCAGACAGAGGCACCAAGGGAGCAAGACCCCAAAGAGTTTAGCAAGGGATAGGAGCATCTTTGTTGTTTTTGTCTCCAGACCCGGACTCCCTGATGTACACTGTACAGCACCAGGTGCTGGGCTCTGATCAGTGGACAGCACTGGCCACAGGCCTGCGAGAGCCTGAGTGGGCAGCCACTGGGCTGCGAAAGGGACTCCAGCATGTCTTCAGGGTCCTCAGCACCAGTGGCAAGAGCAGCAGCAAGCCCTCAGCCCCTTCGGAGCCTGTGCAGCTGCTGGAGCGTGGTGAGCAGGGCACTCCCAAGAGTGAGGGGTAGGGGGATCTGTGGTGGAGGCTGAGGGCTACTTTAGACTTGCCAGGAACACTATGACTGGGTGGGACCCCAGCCCATCAATGGCAGCAGGGCACAGGAGACAAAGCTGAGGCTTTGGGGTCCAACAAGTGGGGTTCACCCCTTGCTTTGCTATTTCCCGGACAAAAGGCTACAGCTCTCAGAGCCTCCTCTTCCTCCTCTGTGAAACAGGAACCCAAGTGAAGATCAGGGTATGAAAGGAGCAGAGGGTGCTGAGGCCCCAGCATCGGCCTTGCACAGAGCCTGTGTTTCCTCTCCCCAGGCCCACCACTGGAAGAGGCCCCTGCCGTGCTGGACAAACCAGACATTGTATATGTGGTAGAGGGACAGCCTGCTCGTGTTACTGTCACCTTCAATCATGTGGAGGCCCAGGTTGTCTGGAGGAGGTAAGGGCCCCCTGCTCACTCCTCTCCCCTCCTGTGACAGCCCAACCCTGTCCCAGCTTGGCAGGATATCCCTGTCATATGTCCTTTAGTTGCCGAGGGGCCCTCCTAGAGGCACGAGCAGGTGTGTATGAGCTGAGCCAGCCAGATGACAACCAGTACTGTCTTCGGATCTGCCGGGTGAGCCGCCGGGATGTGGGGTCCCTCACCTGTACTGCTCGCAACCGCCACGGCACACAGGCATGCTCAGTCACCCTGGAACTGGCAGGTGGGTGACATAAGGTTTCTCCCCATTCTCCCTTCTAAGGCACACTCCCAGGTGCACACACCCACTTGCCACTGTTGGGGATCCAATCCCATGTGCACCCTCTCAGGCCTAGCTATCTAATGGCAATAATAATACCAGAGCTGGTAGTAAACAGTAAAATAGTACTAATGAGATATTTCCTGAGTACCTCGGATGTGCCAGGTTCAGTGTTAAGCACTTCACATGTATCACTAAATTTAAAATGTACATTCCCTTATGAGATTGGGTAGGTTGTTATCCTGTTTTACAGAAAACTGAGGCTCAAAGAATGCTAAGTAACCTGGCCCAAGGTCACACAATCTGATAAGTACAGGAGCTGGGTTCAAGTATGCAAAGCCATACTTGAACTCCAAAGCCATGAGTGTGCCTTGCTCCTGTGCTAAACCCATCAGGAAATAGTGTCTTAGCCATATAAGTGGAAGATGGAGTGGGATAAAAACCAAGCACCTGTGAGTACGGCTTATCTCCTGCGTACTAGCTCTGAGGATCCTGGCTGCTCTTTGGCACAGCCTGCTTGACAAAGCCTCCCAACCCTTATAGCAAAGACCCTTTCTATAATTTCTTCTTTAAAGTTTCGGCCTCTTAAGCCATAGCATGCATTAGGTAGTAATTGTTTTGTTTTCCGGCTTGTTAATTAACTCCAGACACCTGTAACTGCCACACAGAACTTCAGATCCACATGAGCTAAACAGTGTTACCTGCTGAGTAGATACAATTCCAGCCAAAAGCAAGGAAAGTGACATTTTAGTTAGCAGAAGTAATCTATGAGCAAATGGACATTTTCTGATGCTTTAAAAAAAAAATCATTGAAGTTCACTTAAAACCTTCTAGAGCTTTGACCTTCATGGACTGCTCCCCCACCCCCCCACAGCAGGCTGGGGACCAGATTTCTAGAGGGAGGAAAGGCATCTGTGAGGCGCATGAGAAGCAGCTGTAGGCACTACAGGATGAGTACCCTCCTAGCTTGCAGTGGGGATGGTGGATAGGGTGAGGCCCTCGGCCCATGGTCATCTTTTGATGAGTATTGCTTCTTGCCCAGCCCCTACCTCCAGCACTTCCTACTTAGATACCACTTAGTACCATCTGTTAGACTCACCATCCTTCCCAGATGTAGCCCTACATCTGGGGCTTGGGAAGTCCCTAGCCCCCGAGTTCTATAGCCCAGCTTGGCCTGGACAGTGACTGAGGGATGGTTTAAGCCAGCTGGTGCTAAAACCAGACTGGGTCTTGCATTAACACCTCATGCCACTAGGTCCCACCCCAACTCCAGCCAGGCAGGGCAAGTGGAATGGTTAGCCCCCTTCCCTCCACATCTGCCACACAGCAGCCTTTTCTCCACCCCCAGGATGGCATATCTACTGTTTATATAAAAGCCAGTTGGGTCTCTGTGATGGTGGCCATCCATACCCAGCCACGCTGCCCTTTCCTTGGGGGCCTAGTCACTCCAACTCCACTTAAAGCCAAGATCCTCAGACATGCTCAGGACAGGAGTACCTGGAAGTCACAGGCTTCTTATGAGAATTAGAAACCATTTTCAGGAAATAATGTGACCCTGTGATACATATGGAGAATAAAATCCCAGCCACATGTGGGAGGAATAAGCTAAGAACTTCTAGTTGTCCATCTAATATTTGGGAGTTACTCATTTGTTCATCTTCCCATCTCCCAGATGGTAGACGGTCCCCTAAGCATTTAAGTAAGATTCAGAAAGAGAAATTTCAAGATAGAGAAAACATCATTCATGAGATTATTTCTAGGTGACACTGAGCCTCCTTCCTGGCCAAGTAAGGCAAAGTCAGAGAAGGTGGACAGGTGAGGCCACTAGTAGGGCGATCACCCATAGAGGGCAGCATTGAACTGTGCCTTGTCTGTCTATTATTGCGGAAAGCAAAGGGCTCAGGGTGGCCAGTCCTGATTTTTCAAGAGAGACAGGAAATTCAGATTTCTTTTGTGTGTGAAAATCTCCTAATTTCAAAGCTGGCAAATGAACACTGAGGGTCCAACAAAGCAAGCCTGCACCTGTGACTGTTTCTGAGATGTGAAGAACATCACATTTGGGTTTATAGGGAGAGCACATGGTCCAGGAGAGAACTCTGGTGTGTGGGGGGTGAGGGGAGGGGGAGCCTGGCATTCTGCTGAGCCAGTTGCTGATGGGGATAGGGGTGAAGGAGGTAGGTCTTCTGTGACAATGACATCCTTCTCCTTTCTCTCTCCTCCCTTGACCCTTTGTGTTCCAGAGGCCCCTCGGTTTGAGTCCATCATGGAGGATGTAGAGGTGGGGGCTGGAGAAACCGCTCGCTTTGCTGTGGTGGTTGAGGGGAAACCACTGCCAGACATCATGTGGTATAAGGTCAGAAGGTGATACTGGCCCAGTGGGGGGGCTAAGCCAGCTGGCCGAGAGCCTGGGGAAGGGTTAGGGGTTACCTGGGAGACATGGGGGTTCCAGGGAGGCCTTAGGAGAGGGGAGCCTGTGCAGCAGTGTGGTTAGGAGGAGGAAATAGAACCTAGGAAACCCAGCAAGGGATGTAGAACTGTTAGTAGGAGCTAAATGGGAAGCCAAATCTGGGTCCTGGGGGAATGAGGCCCCTGGAGTGGAGATGCTGCTGCCTTGGGTAGAGGTGAGGCCTGGTAAACAGACTTCAGCCCTCAGGTCCAGATGAAACTGGGGTTCTACCATGGAGATAAAACTGGGTCCCAGGTAGAGATGAGCCAGGCCCAGACTGGAGGTGACACCCAGCTCTGCAGGATGAAGTACTGCTGACCGAGAGTCACCACATGAGCTTCGTGTATGAGGAGAATGAGTGCGCCCTGGTGGTGCTGAGCACTGGGGTTCCGGATGGAGGAGTCTACACCTGCACTGCCCGGAACTTGGCGGGTGAAGTCTCCTGCAAAGCAGAGTTGGCTGTGCAATCAGGTGGGCTGGTGTTCCCAAGGAAAAGGATGAGGCATCACCCCAGGAATGTGATGTGAGCCCCTGCCCTGCCCTTCACTACTGACCAGCACATCCTCCAGCCTCAGTACTAATCCTGACCACTGCATCCTCCAGGCAACACCTGCTGGGGGAGCCAACATTCTTGCTCCCCTTCTCTTTCCTCATCTGCCCTGCCTGTCACAGTTTGCCCTTTTCCCTTTCTTACCCTTCCCACCTAACCACAGGACATCTATCTCCTCCCCAGCCCAGACAGCTATGGAGGTTGAGGGGGCCGGGGAGAACGAGGAGCATCGAGGAAGGAGACTCAGCGACTTTTATGACATCCACCAGGAGATCGGCAGGTGTGGGGCTAGGAGAAGCCAGGGTCAGGAGCCAGGAGGGATAGACATCCAGGGCTATAGAAATAGCTGAGTCCCATTGCCCTCTCTATGTCACCCAGGGGTGCCTTCTCCTACTTGCGCCGTGTGGTGGAGCGTAGCTCTGGCCTGGAGTTTGCAGCCAAGTTCATCCCCAGCCAGGCCAAGCCCAAAGCATCAGCAAGGCGTGAGGCCCGGTTGCTGGCCCGGCTTCAGCATGACTGTGTCCTCTACTTCCATGAGGCCTTTGAGAGACGCCGGGGACTGGTCATTGTCACCGAGCTGTATCCTGAAACAGACTGGGGAATGGAAGGCACACATAAAATGACTGGTCCTTGTAACAGCCAATTGGTGGCCATTTTTTTACTGGTTACAAAGTGGTCCTGTTGACAGTTGGGAGGGATGAGTCTGGAGATTTCTGTGAAAATCAACATTTTTAAGCTTAAACTTGAAAAGCAGTTAGTGTGGACCTGGCGGTGTTCTACAACCTGTTCAACCCTCATGAATACCTACCTTGTAGAATTTTATTATCCCCATTTTATAGCTGATGAAACAGGTATGAAGTATCAGGCTGGAGGTCACATAGCTAGCAAATGGCATATGCTTTTTATTTTTTCAATCACAAAATGGCAGTATGATATAGCTGCACATTTGAAGGGACCCCATTTCAGATGAGCACCAATTCCTGGCTTTATCTGTGGTGTGGGGGGGCTCCTTTCATAAAAGCCCTGGTTAAACAAAGGCACATTGCGCTAGGAACGCTGGGTAGCTAGCTCAGCCCTCCTGGTGCATACCAGTCTTCCAGGCTGAATTGTTCAAATCCAAACCTCAGCAAAATCACAGATTATTCCCTGCCATAGACCTCTGGGTCATTATCAGAGTCAAGAAGTTTCATGAACAGTCAACAAGATGTTGCTGTAATTTGACCCCCACAATTACTTCATAGGGTGGGCAGGAAAGGAAATGTTACCCCCCATTTTACCCCTAAGGGAACCCAGGCTCACAGAGGGTAAGTGACTTGCCTCAGAGCTCAAGCAGGGGTGTGCCATCTGTGTACCCCGATGCTGGGGAAAGGGGAAAACAGTGTCTCTGACTGGTATCAGATGTGCCTTGAGGGGAAGGAGAGCCTGGCCCTGAACTCTTGGGCTAGGCCAGGTAGTTGCACTGGTTACTGTTTTCCTTGATCCAGGACACAGCTGCACAGAAGAGTTGCTGGAACGAATGGCCAGGAAGCCCACCGTGTGTGAGTCTGAGGTGAGGGCAGTGGGTGGCAGGGTCCAGGTTGGGCACCAGCCTTCACCCACCTGAGCTCTGGCAGCTGATGGGTGGATCCTACGCATGCCATGTTTGTCCACGAGGAAGCTGGGATGGTGATGGAGAGCACTGTTAGACAGGCAGTGGAGCTCCCCACTCTGGGTGATCGGATAACCATCTATTTGGGGTTGTGAGCATGTGCTCTTTAAATTACTATAGACCCCCAAACTCTGTTGTTTCCTAGTCTTTCTCACATACACATTCTCTCGAATTTTCGTTAATCTCATTGTATTCCTGCCATGTATGGCTGAACACGTTCTACACGGCACAGTTCTAGTTATTGTTACGTACATGACTACCTCTGTGTTTGTGCTAGGCCCAATACATGCAGCTGTACATGGTAGCCCTGTGTATTAGCAACCCCAAACCTGTATTTTAACTCCTTCCATGAGCCATCTGAAGGCCACTCCCCAGGCATGGTCTGACCTCTTGCCCTAGTGATGATGAAGTACAAGTTCCCCAATCCTATGGACTTGTTTTCACAGATCCGGGCCTATATGCGGCAAGTGCTAGAGGGAATATGCTACCTGCATCAGAGCCATGTACTGCACCTCGATGTCAAGGTGAGGTGGGGAATAGAAAGCAGGCAGCCCCTGGGCGGGGCCAGGAGGTGAGTATCCCTCTTTACTCAGCTCTTACCTTGCTTGTGTCCCATAGCCTGAGAACCTGCTGGTATGGGATGGTGCAGGAGGTGAAGAGCTAGTGCGTATCTGTGACTTTGGGAATGCCCAGGAGCTGACCCCAGGGGAGCCCCAGTATTGCCAGTATGGCACACCTGAGTTTGTGGCACCAGAGATTGTCAACCAGAGTCCTGTGTCTGGAGTCACTGACATATGGTAATACTGGAATGCTGGACCACTTGGAGGGCCGGGCTGGGGCATTGATCTCTGACTGGGAGGAGCTTTAGGAAGCCTGGATTCCTTCTGTGACAGTCAGATGGTGGTAGCATTCATGGGTCTCCTGTCTGTGTGTTTTATCAGCCCTTCATTGATTGGGACTGACCCAATCACTCAGAGACAAGGCCTGAGGTTCTTCTCTCTTCTGAAGGTGTCCCTCCCCTCAGTCAGGCAGCCATGGTCTCTTTGGTTCCCAGACTCCTCTGGGCTTCCTAGGCCAACCCTGCCTTGACCCTTGACTTCTCTAGGATGGCTGACTGCTGGATTCAGGGTCCTCCTTCAGGAAGGAGGGCATTCTTGTGCCTGTTTATTCAGGACAGTAGTCCCAGGGAGAACATGTCTCCTTCCAGTTTGAGATAGAGGGAACCCTCACTTCCAGTGGGAGGTAGGCTGTCCTCTCACCATCCCTCTCCTTTCCCACAGGCCTGTGGGCGTTGTTGCCTTTCTCTGGTAAGGACCCCTCTGCAGTCTCCTAGCAGTCTCTTGGGCAGGCCCACCCCTTCTCTTCCACACCTCCGGCTCCTTCCTCACTCAAAGGACCTCTTGTGCATGAACGTAGATGCCCCGTCTTGCATGTCCAAGCTCTTCCCACCACCATGTCCTTCCTTAAGAAATGGGCTCTGAGAGAGACCAGTGCAGGCTCACTGCCGTTTTGGCAGGGTACTGCTTGTTCCTGAGCATCCAGAACGTGGACTAAAAAGGGCTATCCCCACAACCTGGGACTTCCACCATTGCCAGTACTGATCCGCCCATCCCCCTGCTGTCCCACTTCAGCTCTGCCTCAGCCCCAAGGTGCTGTCCACCTCTCACAACAGCCCTCTCCACCTCTACAGTTTGACGGGCATCTCCCCATTTGTTGGAGAAAACGATCGTACTACGTTGATGAACATCCGAAACTACAATGTAGCCTTTGAGGAGACCACGTTCCTGAGCCTGAGCAGGGAGGCTCGGGGCTTTCTCATCAAAGTGCTGGTGCAGGACCGGCTGTGAGTATGAGGCTCCAAAGACTCCCCAACACCACCAACTATAGAGATCCTTCATGCCACCCACCTACTTTTACCAAGCCTCTTCCTTAGACATGCAACCCTCCAGCTCACTAGAGAATGTTTTCTCAGACATTCACTGACTATCTGAAAGCATGAATGCACGAATGAACGCTAAATCCATGCTTAATCCCCATTCTTTTACAGGAGACCTACAGCAGAGGAGACCCTAGAACATCCTTGGTTCAAAGTGAGTCTAGTCCTGCCAAGTGGTGGTACACAGGTGGAAGAACTCCTTCCATGTTGCTAACAGCTCCATTTCTTGAGCACCTATTATGTGTAGCAACTACGATATGCATTTTATATAAATATGATCTACTAGCTTCGTTATAGCTCTGCAAAGGAAGGTATTTTCATTTTTTATAAGGAAACTGAGGCCCAAATCAATGATCAAGTTGGGGTATCATGGACTCCAGGCACAAGTCTGGACCCACCACCACCATCCTGGGATTCCTCTTCAGGGACTCTCTGGTGCTCAAGACCAGCCCCAATCTTCTTCCCTTCTTAGTGTCCACCTCTGTCTTCCACTGCACTGGTCCCCACAGTGTATGGGTGGCCTGCTTGACTCACCTACTCATTATGAGCTCTGTGTAGGCAGGGTTCTCATTCATTTTCAAAACCTGCACCAGGCACAAGGGTGGGGGCTCAGCAAATGAATTCAGAAAGGGTACCTGAGTAGACTCCCCATTGAGCAGTGTGCTGGGTCAGCTGAGGACTGAGGTCATTCTCCAGTTCTAGCAGTAAGAGCTTCTTCCCTCAGATCAGAAATGAACTCCAGCAGAAAGACAGCTTAGGTAGGTGCAGTGGGCAGCCTCTGTCTTGGTCTGGACCACTATGGCTCCAGATCTGTGGTGCTGGCCTTACATGGAGACAGATGAGGAGATGGGGACAGCCTATGTTTTGTTCTGGACCACCATGGCTCCAAATGTCTGGGATGCTGGCCTTCCATAGGGACAGATAGGGAGTAGAGGTCAGCTAACACACTAAGAGCACAGGCCTCCTGGGGTATTCAGCATACCAGGAGAGAGGGCCTTGAGCCCTGGTGAAGCTCAGAAACCACCCCCTGGAGACTGTTCCCTTAGGTTCAGGGACTTTGTCCACAGAAGTGAACCTTGCCTGTGGGGATTGTCTTGATGGACTTAAGAGGAAGGGGACTCCCAGGAGCTCAGAGTCAGTGCTGCTCTCTCTGCTGCCCTCCTCCCCAGTGGCCTTTGCCTTCATTGCCAACTATTAAGGGTCTAGGTGGACAGACAGCTGTCCCTCAGGCCCTCTTTCCTGGGTTCGCAGACACAAGCAAAGGGCGCAGAGGTGAGCACAGATCACCTGAAGCTCTTCCTGTCCAGGAGGAGATGGCAGGTGAGTTTGGCTCAGTTCTGACTCTGTCCTTTCCGCCCTCTCATTCTCTCACCTGTCCTTTTCTCCACGGCCACCCTTCCCTCCTGTTCCTCCATTCCTGTTTTCATTGTCTTAATTCTTGGCTCCTCTCCTGCCCCATGACCCTCTGCCTGCCTAGGCTTCCTTCCCCAGGGCCAACTTCTGCGCTGGCTGCTCCTGCCTGACTGTAATACCCTGTTTTCAGCGCTCCCAGATCAGCTACAAGTGCCACTTGGTGCTGCGCCCCATCCCTGAGCTGCTGCGGGCACCCCCAGAGCGGGTGTGGGTGGCCATGCCCAGAAGACCACCTGCGAGCGGCGGCCTCTCATCCTCCTCAGACTCTGAAGAGGAAGAGCTGGAGGAGCTGCCCTCCGTGCCTCGCCCCCTGCAGCCCGAGTTCTCTGGCTCTCGGGTGTCCCTCACCGACATTCCCACCGAAGATGAGGCCCTGGGGACCCTGGAGGCTGGGGCTGCCACCTCCATGGATTGGCAAGAGCAGGGAAGGGCTCCCTCTGAGGACCAGGAGGCCCCCAGCCCTCAGGCCCTCCCCTCTCCAGGCCAGGAGCCCCCAGCTGGGCCCAGTCCCCGGCGGGGAGAGCTCCGCAGGGGCAGCTCCGCTGAGAGCGCCCTGCCCCGGGCCGGGCCGCGGGAGCCGGGCCGGGGCCTGCACAAGGCGGCGTCTGTGGAGCTGCCGCAGCGCAGAAGTCCCAGCCCGGGGGCCACACGCCTGGCCCGGGGAGGCCTGGGTGAGGGCGAGTACGCCCAGAGGCTGCAGGCCCTGCGCCAGCGGCTGCTGCGGGGAGGAGCGGAGGATGGAAAGGTTAGCGGCCTCAGAGGTCCCCTGCTGGAGAGCCTGGGGGGCCGTGCGCGGGACCCCCGGATGGCGCGAGCCGCCTCCAGCGAGGCAGCGCCGCACCACCAGCCCCCTCCCGAGACGCGGGGCCTGCAAAAGAGCAGCAGCTTCTCGCAGGGGGAAGCGGAGCCACGGGGGCGGCACCGCCGCGCCGGGGCACCCCTAGAGATCCCAGTAGCCAGGCTTGGGGCCCGCAGGCTACAGGAGTCTCCTTCCCTGTCTGCCCTCAGCGAGGCCCAGCCGCCCAGTCCTGCGCGGCTCAGCGCTCCCAAACCCAGTATCCCCAAGCCTGCGGAACCTCGCGCCGTCAAACCCAGTGACTCTCCCCAGTCCTCGGCACCCCAGCCTGCCCCAGAGAAGGCCCTGGAATCCACGGCAGAACCCGTTCAAGCCTCCAAGGCCGCACAGTCCCCCGTGGCCCTGCCAACCCCAGTGCTGCCCCTCACGCCCTATGCCCAGATCATGCAGTCGCTCCAGCTGTCGGGCTCTGCCCAGCCCCCGCAGGGCTCCACGTTGCTTCCATCAGAGCCCAAGCCCCACGCGGCTGTGTTCGCCAGGGTAGCCTCCCCACCTCCAGGAGCTCCAGAGAAGCGCGTGCCTTCAGCCAGGGCTCCCCCAGGGCTTGCCGAGAAAGTCCGGGTCCCCACGGTGCCCCCCAGGCCAGGCAGCAGTCTCGGTGGCAGCATCGAGAACCTGGAGTCAGAGGCCGTGTTCGAGGCTAAGTTCAAGCGCAGCCGCGAATCGCCCCTCTCGCGGGGGCTTCGGCTGCTGAGCCGCTCCCGTTCGGAGGAGCGCGGCCCTTTCCGCGGGGCGGAAGAGGAGGACGGCATATATCGGCCCAGCCCGGCGGGAACCCCACTGGAGCTAGTTCGACGGCCCGAGCGCTCGCGCTCCGTGCAGGACCTCAGGGCTGTCGGGGAGCCTGGCCTAGTCCGCCGCCTCTCGCTGTCGCTGTCCCAGAGGCTGCGGCGGACCCCGCCTGCGCAGCGCCACCCGGCCTGGGAGGCCCGTGGTGGAGATGGGGAGAGCTCAGAGGGCGGTAGCTCGGCCCGGGGCTCCCCCGTGCTGGCGGTGCGCAGGAGGCTCAGCTCCACGCTGGAGCGGCTTTCGAGCCGGTTGCAGCGGAGCGGCAGCAGCGAGGACTCGGGGGGCGCCTCAGGTCGCAGCACGCCGTTGTTCGGAAAGCTGCGCAGGGCCACATCGGAGGGCGAGAGTCTGCGACGCCTCGGCCTGCCGCACAACCAGCTGGCCTCTCAGGCCGGTGCCGCCACGCCTTCTGCCGAGTCTCTGGGTTCCGAGGCTAGCGCCACGTCGGGCTCTTCAGGTGAGGAGGAGCTGGGGTGGCGGACGATGGTGGGGTGCTCTGCAGAGAGGCTCTGGGAGGTGGAGGAGGGGGCCGGGGACACCCTCTGGAAAGAAACTACAGAGGTGCTGGAGGCCCTGAGAGTGGAATTAGCAAGGCTGGAGGGGTAAGAGGCAGAGGCTGGGGTAGGAGCAGGGAAAGAATGGGAGAGATGGCTTTTCCTTGTCTGGGCTGAGGGCTGCTGGGAGGTGGGAGCTTGCTGGTACTGGCTGGACAAACGCTTTATGGGCCTGGGCCTGCACAGCTCCAGGCGAGAGCCGAAGTCGGCATCGCTGGGGCCTCTCCCGACTGCGGAAGGACAAGAGCAAGGGCTTGTCGCAACCAAACCTCTCTGCCAGTGTCCAAGAGGACTTGGGTCACCAGTATGTGCCCAGTGAGTCAGGTAAGAGAGGCCTGCTGGGTGAGCACCTCCCTCTGGCCCCAGCGAGCAGTTCTGGCTGGGTGGGAAATGGGCTACCTAGAGGAGGTCTGGCATCAGGGAAGCAACAACCATAATCAAAGCAGCTGCTGCCATTAATTAGCAAAGCCAAGTGTCCTATTAAGTATGTTACAAGCCCTGTCTCATTCAATGCTGCAGCATTGTTTAGGAACAATTATCGCCATCATCCTATTTTACAGGTGAGAAAACAGGCTTAGTGCTGCGCTGCTAAGTAGCTTGTCCAAGTCACAGAGCTAGTAAGTGGAGCAGCCCGAGTTGGACTGCCTAAGTAACCCTCTGCAGCCAGGGCTCAGCAGTGGCTCCAAGGACACTCTATTTAGGCCTTTGCTTTGGCTGGCCTTATCTCTTCTGAGAGACCCTAGAAGGTTTGTGTACCTGAGTACAGTTTTGAAGCAGCTCAGAATCATGCTTACTTGCCCCCATGGCCCCCCTTCAGGTGTGTGTGCTTGAGTGTGTACCCAAAGACACGCTTTGTCTCCCAGCCAGTTCTCCATTCCTGTACAATTCTAAATGCCTGGCTGCCCCTCCTTGTCCCTCTTTTCCTCACAGAAGGTGTATCTACTGGGAAAAGCAGCTGTCAGGGCTCTTTGCTGGTGGAAGGGCCTTGAGTATGCTCTGGTCTGTTTCATGCCCAAGTCTCCTGGGGCTGCAGGGAGGGAGACATTCTCTACCTGGGGTCACTCCAACTGGAAAAGGAACACTACTCAAGGACTACAAGGAAAGGCTTTAGGAGACCAGGTTTTCCAGACTAGCAGGAAGGACGGGAGCCAGCCACCAGGCAAGGCTATGTGTACCATCTTTATAAGCCACCAGCCCACCCTTGCCCAGTTTTTGATTAAACTGTTTAGAACCATTCTAGCCTTGTCTCTCGGCTGGGCTTAAGGAGACTGTGTCCATTCTCGGCCAGGAATGTAGTGAGTGAAGGGGAGGGAGGGAGGCCAGCTGGTACAGGGAGGGTGGGAAAGGAGGAGAGCACCCAGCAGTGAAGCCTGGGGACAAATGATCCCTTCCCACCTGGGGCCTCCTTCCCAGCTCCATTTTGCTTGTGCAGCTGATTTCCTGCTGAGCAGTGTCTCCTAACCGCATCCTTATCCTGCAGAAAGATGTCTGTCCCATGTCCACTTTACCAACTGGGGCTGGTCCTAGGGGAGTATGGGTAGGGCTAGCAGAGCTGGGACCGGGTCACATTTCTCCTCTCCTCTCCTTCCACTCTACCCAATACCCTCACTTGGACTGGAGGCAATCACTGATGAGACTATGTTTACCATATATTGGAGCCTCAGAGGGGGATCCTTCCTTGGGTACAGTGGGGGGGCATACTATGTTCCAATCACAAACTCCTCCTGAGTATCCCTCTCCTGTCTAGTTCATATGTGCTCACCCTCCCTCCTGATCCTTCAGAAGCAGCAGCTGGGCTCCCAGAAATCTTTAGCTATCCCTGCCCAAGTGAAAAAAAAAAAAAATCCTCCCACCCCCTGTAGCCAGAACCAGACAACCAGATTGGGACTTTATTTACTTATTTATTTATTTATTTTATGGCAGTACTGGAGTTTGAACTCAGGGCCTTGAGCTGTTAGGCAAGTACTCTGCCACTTGAGCCACACCCCCACCCCCAGATTAGAATTTTTCTAAAGGGACATTCCAGGCATCATGAACTCAAATCTTCATGGCACTAAGGAGTCATAGGCCAGCAGCACTGGAGCAAAGCTCCCAGCCCCTGCTGAGTCATGGGCAAGGTCATCGGCCAATGGTGAAGCAGCTTTTCTACTTTGCTGAAACAGCCTCTTTTCCTGGGTTCTGCCCTGGCATATTGAGGAGATCATCATAACAACCACAATAAGAGCTAATGTTTCTGAGTGCTTATTTCACGCCAGATACATGCTAAGCACATGCCTCTTCATTCTCATAGCAACCCCTCTAAACTTGGTATGATTATTTTTCTCAGTTTACAGTCATGTAGGTACTGTCTCTTGCCCTTTCAAAAGCTCACCCCATTTAGTTGACTTGAAGGAGTACACAGGTTGTCCAGGAACCTTCCCCAGACCCCAGGTGGAAAGAAGGACCAGGAGGCTGGCACACTTCTGGGAGCTAACATGGTTTGTCCTGGCCTCAGATCTTTGAGACTATACATTCTGGTTGCAGAATTTACGTCCCATCCTATCTCAGCTCAAGTCACTGCCTCCTGTCCCTTGCCCTTCACTTGTCCTGTGGCGCCCCAGAGGGACTGGGGCACAGTTAACTCAGAATTTTAACTGTTAATGGTTTTCAAAATGGTTTGTTTTTAACAATGCTTATAGAGCTCATCTTTAGTGCCAGTCTCTGTTCTAAGTGATTTATAAACATGAAGTACCTACCAAGCATCTTTACTGCTTGGTGCAAGAAAAAAGATAGTTCTAACACATGCTGAGGGCCTGGGGAAAGATAAGTCTCGCACTTCAAGAAAAGTCTTGAAGGCGTGGCATGATGTTTCACTCCCCACATGCCAGGGTTCATACACACCTGCCCCTCCCTCAGCAGTAAGTGGCCAGAGTCCCGCACATAGATGGCTGTCTTTGCTCCTCCTCCAGACTTCCCCCCAGTCTTCCATATCAAACTCAAGGACCAGGTGCTGCTGGAGGGGGAGGCAGCCACTCTGCTCTGCCTGCCAGCAGCCTGCCCTGCACCCCGCATCTCCTGGATGAAAGGTAAGCAGATTACATCTCCCACAAAGAAGGGGGGTGACACATGGTCCCAAATACAGAGGATGGGCATGGCTAGGCCTTGGGTGAGCATGGTTTAGGGGAGGCCAGGACTAGGTGGGCCTGGACATATGCCATCTCATTCAGCAGCCTCTCCTGCCTCCCCTGCCCCTAGACAAGCAAACCCTGCGGTCAGAGCCCTCGGTGGTCATCGTGTCCTGTAAAGATGGGCGGCAGCTGCTGAGCATTCCCCGGGTGGGCAAGCGGCATGCTGGACTCTACGAGTGCTCCGCCACCAATGTCCTAGGCAGCATCATCAGTTCCTGTACCGTGGCTGTAGCCCGTGAGCCTGGGGCAGGGCCAATGGGGTAGAGACAGGGATGGTGGGGCAAGGCCTGCCTAATGGGCCCTTAACTGCGCCATCACTGGGCTTCTTTTTATTCCTGCCAGGCATCCCAGGGAAGCTAGTACCCCCAGAGGTGCCCCAGACCTACCAGGATACAGCACTGGTGCTGTGGAAGCCAGGGGACAGCCGAGCACCTTGCACATACACACTGGAGCGGCGGGTAGATGGTGAGGGCAAAGGCAGGATGGTGGAGGAGAGGGAACAGATAGAGGAGCTTGGGAAAGCAAATTTCTCCCTGGACAGAGGCCTTTTCTGTGGGCTTCCAAGGGTACTGCTCTGCAGCAGGGCCTCCCTCAGAAACCTTATACTTTCCTGGAGGAGAAGGCCAGGCAAGCAGGGCAGGGAAGGGCAGCGGAGGAGTGGATGGGATATGAGGAACCCGGGGATTCTTGGCTGGGCTTGCAGATAGCACAGGGAGCTTTGGCCACCCCTCCTGTGGCCTCAGCTCCTCTCCTCTCCTGTGCTGCCCACAGGTGAGTCTGTCTGGCACCCAGTTAGTTCAGGGATCCCTGACTGTTACTACAATGTGACGCACCTACCCATTGGCGTGACTGTGAGGTTCCGTGTGGCTTGTGCCAATCGTGCTGGGCAGGGACCCTTTAGCAACCCTTCGGAGAAGGTCTTCATCAGGGTCACTGAAGGTCAGTGTACGGAGTAGAGATGGCAGGAGAAGGAAGGGATCCTAAATCCAGGGTCCACCTCCTCCTTGGAGCACCACAACTTGGTTCCCAGGACACACAGTAATGATTTTCTTTGTCTCCTCTTAGATTCTTCCACTCGGCCATCTGCTACTCACCAAGACACCCCTGTTACCTCAGGGCCAACCAGGGCCCCACCTCCTGACTCTCCTACCTCACTGGCCCCAATCCCAGCTCCTGCTTCCCCAACCTCCCAGGCAGCCTCTCTCAGCCCCTTATCTCCTCCCCCAGCCCCCAGCCAGGCTTTGACTTCCCTCAAGGCCATGGGTCCACCACCCCAAACTCCCCCACGAAAGCACAGGGGCCTGCAGGCCACCCAGCAAGCAGAGCCTACCCCACCCAGAACAGAGGTCACCCCAAGTGAGCCCAAGTCTTTTGTCCCTGACACTGGGGCTTCAACCCCAGCCCCCGCCCCTCAAGAGGTTAAACCAGCATCCTCCCCTACTCCCCTGTATATGGTGACTTCCTTTGTGTCTGCACCCCCAGCCCCTGAGCCCCCTGCCCCCGAGCCTCCTCCCAAGCCCACCAAGGTGACTGTGCAGAGCCTCAGCCCACCCAAGAGAGTGGCCAGCTCCCCCGCTCCCAAGGGTACTGCTCTGCGGCAGGGCCTCCCTCAGAAACCTTATACTTTCCTGGAGGAGAAGGCCAGGCAAGCAGGGCAGGGAAGGGCAGCGGGGGAGTGGATGGGATATGAGGAACCCGGGGATTCCTGGCTGGGCTTGCAGGAGGAGGGGTTGATACATGGATCCTCACTATTGAGTTCATCTATGCCAGGCACCATACTGAGCTTGTTGGTCAAGCTGTTGCTTAAACTTTACCCTCCTAAGAGGGAGACATTGCCTTATTATCATCACCCATTTCAGAGGTGGGAAATGGGGTTTGACTAAGGTAGACAGCCAGTAAGTGCAGAGCTCGAACTGGAACCTTGGTTCCTAGAACTGAACTCTGCAGGCTCACACTGCAGCCACTACATTCTCGTCCCCCTCATGATGGGAGTGTACCCACCTCCTCAAACCTGTGACGTTCCCCTTGCACACACAGGGGCCGCTTTGGTGTTGTGCGAACATGCCGAGAGAATGCCACAGGCCGAACGTTCATGGCCAAGATTGTGCCGTATGCCGCTGAGGGCAAGCGGCAAGTCCTGCAGGAGTATGAAGTGCTGCGGACACTGCACCACGAGCGGCTCATGTCCCTGCATGAGGCCTACATCACTCCTCGGTACCTCGTGCTCATTGCTGAGAGCTGCGGCAACCGGGAACTCCTCTGTGGGCTCAGTGACAGGTAGCTGGATGTTTTGGGGGAGCAGGGAGGCAGAGTCAGGGAGGCTGACTGGAAGGTCACTTCCTGGCCCCTGCCACCCCCAGATTCCGGTATTCAGAAGATGATGTGGCTACCTATGTGGTGCAGTTGCTGCAAGGCCTGGACTACCTCCATGGTCGTCACATCCTGCACCTGGACATCAAGCCCGACAACCTGCTGCTGGCCCCTGACAACGCCCTCAAGATCGTGGACTTTGGCAGTGCCCAGCCTTACAATCCCCAGGCCCTGCGGCCCCTTGGCCACCGCACGGGCACGCTGGAGTTCATGGGTGAGGGGACCAGCAGCCAGCCAGGGTAGGGGTTGGGGCACTGCCAGCAAGGCAACCTCCGGGGCCCACCCCCTCTCTGTGTGCTTACAGTATGTAAGCAGTGGACTTTAGTCCTTTACCTGGATTTTTAAAAATTTATCTTTACAATAGCCCTGAGGTTTGGCATAATACCCCTTGTTACAGATGAGGAAACAAAAGCATAGACGTGAAGTATTGTCCAATCCAACGATTGTGAATGGAAGAGGCAGGATTGGCTAAAGCTGGAAAGACAGGAGAATCAATGTTATGTTCTATAAATAAGGAACATGAGCTGTCATTTAACTACCTGTCACGTGTTTGATGTTTATTATCTCTGTTCCTTAGAGTTATTCTACAAGTCACCTTTTACAGCCCAGACAAAGACGAGCGAGGCAGGCTTAGTAAATCGCCCAGGGTCCCATAGCTAGAAGGGGCAAGCCTGGGATTAGAGCCAGCCAGGCTGGTTTCAAAGACTCTTCATCTTGGTGTCAGCCACACTCTGTGAATGGATCAGCTCAGCGCTGATCCAAGCAAGCTGGTGATACTGCTTCTCGGCTTTCTGGAGTTCTGGGGACCTCCATCACTCAGTTCCCTGGACTAATTCTTTGGGTAGTCCACATTTCTTGGGAGCCATCCCACTTCTGTCTATCCAAGGCTTTCTGCTCTGGTTGTACCAGTAGTGTGGTACAACAAAGGCATTGTCCTTTTCCTCAAGCCCCCAGGGGCCTCCCCACCTCTTCCTGTTCCTATGCCATAGGGAAGCTGGCTCAGCTTGGTCTCTGTCTCCTGTTAGCTCCCGAGATGGTGAAGGGCGAACCTATTGGCTCTGCCACGGACATCTGGGGAGCAGGTGTTCTCACCTACATAATGTGAGTTTCCTGGCTTTGCTTCAGCCCCACCCCCATGCAGGGTGGCACTGTCTCTGAGCACTGTGCCTCCCAGGGTTCAGTGGGACACTAACGTCCGTTGGGTCTGAGAGTTGACCCTTAATCCACTAAGGCAGAGAGGCAGTAATGGGAAGCTTGAATGTATCAACTGAACTTTTTCCACAACAGGCTTAGCGGACACTCCCCATTCTATGAGCCAGAACCCCAAGAAACAGAGGCTCGGATTGTGGGAGGCCGCTTCGATGCCTTCCAGCTGTACCCCAACACATCACAGAGCGCCACCCTCTTCTTGCGAAAGGTCCTCTCAGTACATCCCTGGTGAGTACGCCCCCACCTGCCCACCCTTCACATTACCTGACCGTGGCCGCAGACTGCCCTGGCCCCCTGGCCAAGGACCCCCAACTCCTCTCCTGTCTATATCACTGCTGTTGTTTCTTCTGGATAGCTATTCTACCTACCATTTAAAGCCCATAATAGCCCTAGGAGAGGCAGAATTGTCTGCCTGCCCCTATTTCAGGGATTGGACACTGAGCCCCAGAACCACCCAATCTCACACACATAGTGGTGGATAAGGTTTGGGACTGGGTCTGGGGTGGAGCCTGCCTGTTCCAGGATCTGTCAGCTCTGGCTCACCTTCCCTGGCTGGGCCTGGCAGGAGCCGGCCCTCCCTGCAGGACTGCCTGGCCCACCCATGGCTGCAGGATGCCTACTTGATGAAGCTGCGCCGCCAGACGCTCACCTTCACCACCAACCGGCTCAAGGAGTTCCTGGGAGAGCAGAGGCGCCGCAGGGCCGAGGCTGCCACCCGCCACAAGGTGCTGCTCCGCTCCTATCCCGGCAGCCCTTAGCAGTGTGGACCACAGCCCGGCTGCACGCTTCAACTCGGGGTCCCACTGATGCACCCGAGGTACATTCCAGGGCCCACGCTGAGCCAGGTGGGCCTGGGGCTTCAGTTACCACCAGCAGCAACATCTGGCCGGGCTATTACCTTACCTCACGGACCTGAGGGGATGAGGCAGGCCCTGGGCTTCAGTCTGATGCCACCCTGGCCAGAGGAAGAGACCCATTGGCTAGGCTGTGCAGGAGTGGGAACAGGAAGAGAGGCAAGAAGGAAATGGGGAAGTGAAGAAGAAAAGATGTGAAGGGATAAAATAGGGAGGGAGAGATTTGGTGAAGGTTCTGGGGGTGGGGGCATGGTGCATCTCAGGGAGAACCCAGGATTAGTGGCTGCAGAGGAGGAAGAAGGAGCCCAGGGTGTCAGGACAGTGGGCTAGCGGTGAGTGTCCGAGCGGCAGAGACAGGACAATGAGACAGTGCCAGAGAGCCAGAGCCAGGACTTGAGAGAGGGCAGTGAGGTGGGGAGGAGAGAAGAGCAGGCCCAGGGGAGGTGGGGAGGGCCAGCAGCTGCATCCCTAGAAGGAGAATGGAGAAAGACCAAGAGCTTCAGGCGAATGGCCACTCAAGCTGGATCTCTCCTGTCCCAGTGGATGCAACTCTGGGCACTCTATGCCAGCCTAGGGGTGTACCCACCACTCACTCCTCCACGGCCTTTGCCCTTCTTCCTATTCATATTTATTTATTTATTGACTTTTATGAAGTTTCCCCTTCCATCTAATCTTTGTTGCCCATGTTGTCCTGACTATCCCCCCAGCCATCCAGCTGTTTGTGCAGCTGTCTGTCACAAGAAAAATAAAAATGGGCAAGCAGCAGGATCTGTGTGTGCTGTGTGTGTCTCTGCAGAGGGCTGGGTGGCGGGGAGTAAGTCCTGGGAGGAGACATTTGGCCTTCCCTGGGCAGTGAGGACACATTCCAGTTTATAGCAGCTAGTACCTTGGGACCTTTCCACCCCTCCCCTAACCTTCAAGAACCCTCACCCTTCCTTATTCCTAGAGGGAGCGGAGAGTGTGGTCTGCTTCTCTCCAGCAGTTTCTAGAATGCTGGCAGATCTACTGAGTTACCAACACTCTCTAACCAGGCAGGCTCTTGCAGCCCCACTTCTGTTCACCTGCTTCCTCATAGCAACTGGGGAATGCTGGGCTCTGGCCCACATCCCAGTCCTGGCTCAGCCTCCTTTACTCTGGTCCTGCCACCTAGGGGCAGGAGGCTTCACCCTGGAGTTTGATGAGAGGAGGCGGTGTGAAGACCTGCAAAAGAAACCAAGACAGGCCTTAGTCCCAGGCTCTTGGGGTTGGAGCACAGATCAGAGCACATGGAGCAAACCTGTGAGGGATCCACAGGGCAACCATGTCTAGCATTTTCATAGGACTGAGGAGCATATCTACTTGGACCTTCTTGTTCACATGGCAAATTAGGGGTCTGCTGGGTGCTAGGGTACCTTGACTGGCCACTCCCATGCAGAATCACTGGGTCCTGGAATTAAACTGCCCTGCCATGAGATGAGGGGGGAAGAGGGAAGCCAGGTTTCCTGTGTTCAGAGGAATGGTTTCCTCCACCTTGAAAATTCTGATCTTGCAAAGTAAAAGGAATGAAGCCACCAACCATGAACACAGAGCACTGGCACTGGTGTATTGCCAACTGAGTTTGAGGGCCCCTTGACTCCAGCTCCAACAGTCCTTTGCCCAGTGCAGCCCAGCCTCACTGACTTCCCAGGACCCCAGGAAAGAAGCAAACCCCATCATCATAAAATAACAGGATGTGAAAATCAGCTGGCAAGGATGAGAGAGCCATCTTGCCCACCTGTCATTTTAGAGATGAACATAAACAGTTTGCCTGTGAGAATCTCCAATCCCTGACACACTGCAAATGTTTGCATATAAAAACGAGGTGCCTGAACTCATACCTTGATAAATAGTAAAATTCCTCTCCTGTCCCCACTTTGATCTGGAGTTCCCATCCCATCTCCATTGGAAATGGCATGTGAACTGCTTATTCCAAACCCAGAGGAGCAAAGGTAATTTGTATCAGCAGAACAGTGTCAAAATTGTTCTGATCAAAAGGTGACAGTACTCCACACCTGGGCAAGTAGTTGCAATAAATGGTAGAAATGCTCCTACCTGGTGCCCTGGCCTTGGCAGACTGGACTCCAGCTAAGCCCCCAAGAGGTTAACTGAACACCTTCACCCCAAACTGCCTGGTGCCCTTATACAGCAGTTTATACCCCCAAAAGGGCTTGGGCTGACCTAGGATTAGGGTGTCAGTAGTAGTGCTGCCCAGTCCCATGGAGGGGAATGAGTGGGGATAAAGATACCAATGGAGGGGTTGCTGTACTCAAAAATCTGGTCCCCACTTGGTTTACCTCAGTTTACCACCAGGGGTTACAGTGCAGAACTGATAACCGTAGACTTTTGGGATAAGAATATAGGGGAAGAATAAGATGATTGGGATTGGTTTTGACAGCCACATGGTCTTGTCATGATGGCTCTATAGACCATGAAGTCCTAGACTACTCTGGCTTCATTCAAGGACACTGTCACATGCACTTGCACCTCCTTAACCTACAGTATCTGGGAAACAGCATGTTGTCTGCCTAGCGGCAGTCTAACCTGATCAGCAGACCGACCTGAGACTAAAGCAGCCCCAGCAGTGAGCTGAGTGTCTTGTTGGCTTAGGGTTGTGCTTGGTCCTTCAGGGAATGGTATGGATACCCAACACGTGGAAGGTACACATGTCAAGGGCACAAAACAGCACACCTTCCTGTGCCTAGCCAGGAGTCTGGATAGGATTCTGGTCGAGCACAGCCCCAGATGCAGCCTGGAGGCATCACTAAACTGACAGTGGACATTCTTCCCCACCCAGCCCAATAAGTGAGCTGTTAGATCACAGAACTCCAGGGGTCCCAAGGTCACAGAGCATTTCAGAGGCAGAGCCATTGTTAGAGCCAGATTTTGTGGTTCCCAACTCTGGGCAACTTCCACTATTCAGAGCTATCTCCAAGGCACAGTAAGATGTGTGAATATTCCTGGGCTTCCACCCACTTTATCTCTTTTGATCTTCTATTTGAAGTAGGAGGGGCAGGAAGTTAAGTCCCGTTTAATAGCTAAGGAGATGAAACCAGACAAGCTAACAATTTGCTCAATATTATACTGAGAGTCGAAATGCACCTTGTACTTAGGGTCAAGACATTAGCTGGGGAGGTGATGTCCCCGTTCCATCTCATCCCCAGGTCCCTCACTGAGTCGCATTCTCCTTCTCTTTCTGTAGTCCCGCCTAAGATTCAAAAGGGATTCGGCAACACTAAGGCACTCAAAGGCACCACGATAACGCTGACTGCGCAAATCATGGGCGAGCCTGTGACCAACAACGGCTGGTGCAAGGATGGAGAGGACATCGAGGAGGACGACAGGCAAGGACCGGGACCTGTAGAGAGGGCAGGACCTGGGGTTTAAATCTGAGCTGTACAGTGACCAGAAACCCTGCGGGAAAGGAATGAAGTCTGGGAGCTGGGTGGCAAAGGCCAGAGCTGGCTAATTAGCCTGGCCCAGTACGCTCGAAAAAGTGACCCGCAGCTCCGCCCTCCGCCTTTCCATCCCTTCCCCAGGGTGTTCGTCGAGATCGGCACTGCCACCACAACGCTGACCATTCTCCGGGCCACACCCCAGGACAGTGGCAAGTACGAGGTGTACGTGGAGAACAGCCTGGGCATGGACCAGAGCTTCGCTCACGTGGACGTGGCCTCAAAGGGACCCTCAGACCTTTCTCCTTGGCTTCAAGCCTAGGGGTGGATTGATGAATAAAGTTGCTCTCTCTCTGATTCTGCGTCTCTTCTGTTCTTCACCGTCGCAGTTCCCTCTTCTCGGCACCCCTACACTTATTCCAGACCCAAATGCCAAAGTCACAGAATGCTGGAGTCAGAGGGAAGTATGGAGAGTCCCTAGTCCAGTGCTTCATTTTACAGACAGTAAATCTGAAATGGTATTTCTCTTACCGTCGGACTTGCAGCGGACGAGCAGTGGAGCTATGACTCCGCCTTCTCTTCTTTTGCCCAGTTTAGCCCCCCCCCTTTCTTGACTGTTTTGCTCTGACCCCGCCCTTTTCAAGGCTGGCTACACTCCTGCCGTCTTCAGTCCCCATTCCTCTGTGACCTAGTTCTCCACTGTGGCCTCTGCCCCTAGGTGTATTCCCAGACAGCTCGCGTCCCAATCTTAGTTTCCAGCCTCTGCTCCTTAGCATCCTCCTTTTCATTTAGGCCCGCCTCTCGATCCCTTGGCCACGCCCCCGCTATCCACTGCTTTCCCGGTGTTTTATAAAGTTGGAAAGAGGGAGGACTCTTCAGAACTACAATTCCCGGCAGGCCCTGGGAAGGAGTTCTCGCGACTTTCGAGAAGACACGTGCGCGGAAGGAGCAAGCAGTAGCGAGCGGCAGAGCTGGCGAAGGGGAGCTCGTGGTAAAGGGACCTGGTGGAGGGCTGGCGGGTGGGTTAGGGTAGGGTGCTGCCCCTAGAGAGGGGACCCGCTCGGAGGTCGCAGCTGGCTTTCGGTACGACCGTGCTTGTGTTGGCCCCACAACCTTGGCTACGGGAGGCCAGTGTTTATTGGGCACAATCATTTCCTAGGGTCAGCAAAATCTCCGAATCTAGAGATACAACACCAGTCAGAATCAGAGGTTAGTAGGTTCAGTGTTTGGGATGCCAAGGGAATCTGTCTTTTGATTCGGGCTTTAGCGTATAGAGGTTAGTTTCAGGATTCGTATTCAGCACGTAGACTGTTTTTGCTAGGATTGGGGTTCTTCAAAAGCAGATCAGTTTGGGTTCAGTACTTGGGGTTCATGCTTAGAATTGAGTTAAGTACCTGTGGGCCCACTCAGAGTTTGCCATTTCATATTCAGGACTTACTGTTGGGATTCAGGGTTGAACATCTAGAAAGATGCAGTAATTTGAGAATTAGTCATTGGGATAGAGGTGTCTTTTTTTTTTTTTCCTTTTGAGGTTTGCTGTCTGGAAAGGGGGTCTTCTGAGTCTCTGACTTTGCATACTTTGTTCATGGCCAAAGGGAAGTTTGTTAGTGATGGAAGTGTGAGATGTGGGTTTCCGAATTTACGTGGAATCACTTTGAGTTTGAAAGCCAACTGGAGTCTGGGTTGGGATTTGAGCTATGAGATTTATGAAGTGTTGTATCCAGGGAGGACTAAACTGTGGGTTTATGTCCTGGGAAAGGACCAAGTATTGTTAATTGGGGTTTTGGGTTATTGGGGTGTGAGCTGAGCCTATTCTCTGTTGGGGTTTGAAGTTTAGGTAACAGTCACCATCATGCTCAAAGCTGTGATCCTGATTGGAGGCCCTCAAAAGGGTGAGGAGGCTGGGTTGGGCTAGAGTGCTTGGTGAGGTGGGGGCAGAGGGAGGCAGGAGGCTGCAATGTTCTCTCCTCTCCCAGGGACTCGCTTCAGGCCTTTGTCTTTTGAGGTGCCCAAACCACTGTTCCCTGTGGCAGGGGTGCCTATGATCCAGCACCACATTGAAGCCTGTGCTCAGGTAACTCCATATTTCCTTTCCTGATACACTGTTTCCCCCTTTTCCAACCATGATCTCTTCCCACCAGGCCTAATTCCAAGGACTATCATTTACACATGACAATGTGAATGGTGCCCCTTGAAGTTGTGCAGTGCAGCTCCCCTTTCTCTTGGCCTTTTCCTGCTAAGATTTCATGCCTATTTTAAAGTATGGAATGTAAAGTCAAGCAGGAATCTTAGGCACATGTTAAAGCCATAGCATGGGGAAGCTTCATGATAACAAAGCACAAAACTCATCTCCTTGCTCACCGTGGAGCTCATTTATTGCTTTGGTATTGGGATAAGCAAAGTTTTTGTTCAAATCCAGTCTTTTCCTGCTCTGAAACCTGGAGCAAGCAAACTTCACATCCTTTCTGAGCTTCAATTTCCTTATCTGTAGAGGTTAAACCTCATTTGTAGGGTATTGAAGCTGTAAAGTGCCCAGTTCAATGCAGGCCCTCAATAAATGATACCCTTACCTTCATGTTGATTTCAGCATAGACTGACAGATAAGAAAAAGGAAGAAAAGATGAATGGATTATACTTTAATGCAGCTTAGTAGGCAAAGTCTTTCTAGAGTGAGTCCCAATTCAGGTGGGTGGATAAATATAAAAGATGGAAGTCTCTGGGCTGAGACTTCCTCTAACTTCCTCATTATCCAGAGGAAAAAACAGGTCAGAGTAATAATGTGATTGTCCAGAGGCCCCCAACTGAAATTGAAATTGTGGCGAGGCCAGAGATCTCCTTCAACACTCCCTCTTATCAGATACTTTCTCTCCCAACTTCTTCCCTTGTCTTCAGGTCCCTGGGATGCAGGAGATTCTGCTCATTGGCTTCTACCAACCTGACGAAGCCCTTACCCAGTTTCTAGAAACTGCCCAGCAGGAGTTTAACCTTCCAGTCAGGTGTTTGTACACACATATATGGGGGCAGGGGCTCTTGAGTTCTTGGGAGTGGGCTGAGTCTGTATTTGCCAGAGTTCACCCTCACATACTAGGGGGATTCTTATTTGAGCATCTTAGAATCCCTCCATAGATGGAGCTTCCCTGTGGGTCTTAGGCAGGAGTACTCCTGGGAGTTGGCTAGATTGGGGAAGGGGTGTCAGGTGTCCTGGCTCATAATATCTCTCTCCTTGAATCTTACTGAACTGGCTCTGGGGTCCCTGGGGACAGGTACCTACAGGAATTTGCCCCCCTGGGCACAGGGGGTGGTCTCTACCATTTTCGGGACCAGATCCTGGCTGGGGGCCCTGAAGCATTCTTCGTGCTCAATGCTGATGTCTGCTCGGATTTCCCCTTGAGTGCTATGTTGGATGCCCACAGACACCAGCGCCACCCTTTCTTACTCCTTGGTACCACGGTGAGGGGGCTAAGAGGGCTGGAGGGTGTTGGAGAAGCAGAGGCAGAGGCAGCCCTGCAGTTGGAGTAGGAACTGAGTGGGAACATAGGAACCTGTGCTGGGAGGAAGATGTACTGCCCCAGCAGTAACAGAGGTGTGATTGGTGAACCTGAGCCCTTTAGCTGCTCAGAAGTAGGGAGGGGGAGGGCAGCTGTCAGCTCTCACCCCTGCTGAAGGCCTGTCAGTGGTGGAGCTACGTGCCAGATGTCAGAGGGGAGGAAAAGAAAGGAGAAAACAGCCCTGTCTGCCCTGGAGCAGGGGGATCACTGTCTCAAGTATGTCTGTCTTTCAGGCTAACAGGACACAATCCCTCAACTACGGCTGCATTGTTGAGAATCCACAGACGCATGAGGTGAGAGCAGAGGAGGGGGCTTCCCACCGTGCACATCATCCCCCAACCCACACTCTAGAGAATGCCAGAACACTGAGGTGGGCCCAAGTCTTGTCAAATAGGTGGGGCAGGCCCCCATTAGTCATCTTGTAGCCCTTTAAGGGAGATTGGAGGCTGGAGGCATGGCTCAAGGGATAGAGCACATGCCTAGCAAGTGTGAAGCCCTGAGTTCAAACCCCAGTATGTCCAAAAAAAAAAGAATAAAGAGAGAGAGAGAGATTGTTAGCGGGAGGGGGAAGGAGTGACAGTTCATTTCCATGAATGTGGCAGTGTAACAGATGTATGCACAGGGTCCTGTGGAGCACAAGGGAGGCTCAGCAGAGCCTTGTCTTGGCAGGGTGGGGGTAAGAGGCACTTCTTTCAGGAAGTAAGGACTAAGCTGAGTTAAATTGTCTAGATGAAGAAGGAAACAGGAAGGCACTGTAAGCATAGGTAACAGTATATGCAAAGACAGAGGCAGGAAACAGCATTGTGTCTACATAATCATGGCGATGGGAGCATAATGGGCAAGGGTCTCTCTCTGCCTGGGAGCCTTACTGACCTTGACACACCTCTTTTATTTGCTCATGTTTTAATATAAAACATACATGTAAATGCACACATATACACATACACACACAGTCTTGTAGCAGGCACAAGCTAGGTGTGATAGAAACCAAGTCCAAAAGGCACATTCCTGCCTCTCAGGAATCCACAGTATGGTAGAAAAGGCAGTCTCCCCAGTGAGATATAGTCAGAGACCAGGGGTGCCAAGCCTGAATAGCTAACTCTGGAGCAGCAAGGGAGAGTGATATCAGCTGGGTTTCAAAAGGTGATGAGTTTCCCAGAGGAAGAGATGGGTGAGGTGTGCTGTGGCTTGGAGCTGTGTCCTCATAGCCCCAGGAATTGGGGAAGATGGAGCAGGGAAAGGCATGGAGGTGGTGGTGAAGAGCAGTCATCTTATGGTGAAAAGCCAGTAGGAGCAAGATGTGTGCAAGATTTGTGCAGCATTTTAGAAGGTCCACCCTGCTGCAGGGAGGAGGGCCTGGAGGTGAAAGGGCCTTAGGAGCCTGTGGTGGGCAGCAGTCCCCTTCCACTATGAATCAAGCCCTCTCTATCCTCAGGTCCTACACTATGTGGAGAAACCCAGCACGTTTATTAGTGACATCATCAACTGTGGCATCTACCTCTTTTCTCCAGAAGCCCTGAAGCCTCTTCGGGATGTCTTCCAGCGTAATCAACAGGATGGGCAACTGTGAGGCAGGCCCCATGGCCCTATAACCCCAAGCAATCCAGTCACAGATCCCTGGCCTATGCCAGGCTCTGTAGGCGCCATCTAAACCTGATCATCCCCTTCCTCCCTTCTCCAGTTCCCATGCGTCATCTCTAGCCAGCCTCCTGAATCCCTCCCCTTCTAACCTCATTCTGTCCCTCTTCCTTATCCATCCCAGCTCCTCCTCAGTCACCACCTGCCACTCCCCTTCTGGTCCATTTCTCTCAAGCCCCGAGTGTCCCAGAGATGTCTTTCAGAACAGACGGCAACACACACTTGGGTGCACACATGCTCATGCAGACACATGCGCACACACACACGTGTTTTCAGGCTGGCCCCCTTTGGAATGTAGCCCCAGAGCCCTGCTTGCCAATCCTAGGGTTATCCCCTCTAGGCCTGAAAACCATTTCCTTCTAGGCTCCCTGCCTTCACAACCCCCCTCCCCACACCATCTCCCATCTCACGCCTCATTCCCTCCTAGCCATCTCTCACTCCATTGTGTCTCTGCTTCTTTCCATCTCTCCTGGCCTCTCTGTTTCTGTTTCTGCTGAACTGGCATCTCTACCATCTCTCTCTCCCTCTCTCTCTGTGACTGTCTCTGCCCTCACCAGCTGCCTTGCTTTGGGGTGAGTCTGTCTGTGTTTCATTCCATCCAGTGAGGGGAGGGACTGGAGGGGTGAGTGGGGAGGAGGATGTGCAAATCCAGAGAGCTTCTTCTGGACCTGGGGCAGAGATGGGAAATGGGTCTAAGCCTAGGAGGGTGGGAGAGGTACCTGGGTTGCAAGCAGCCCTTTGTAGAGGGATTTGGAGAGATAGTGGGAGTCCCTCAAACTCCTTCCTGAGGTTGACCTCATGATCAGGCTTAGCTTGGGGAACTGATGGGAATCCTTCCTCTGACAGGGAAGACTCTCCAGGCTCATGGCCCGGGGCAGGGACCATCCGCCTGGAGCAGGATGTGTTCTCAGCCCTGGCTGGGCAGGGCCAGATCTATGTGCACCTCACTGATGGTATATGGAGCCAGATCAAGTCTGCAGGGTATGCAGGGGCCAGGGTGCAGAGTCTGTGGTTCTGATTGTGAGGCGGGGGCACCTGAGGGTTCAGACTTTGGGGTGGTGAGCACGGACTCTGCTGGCCCCTAAGCCCCTTCCCCACTTTTGGTTATTAGATCAGCTCTCTATGCTTCTCGCCTCTATCTGAGCCGGTACCAGATTACTCACCCAGAAAGGCTAGCCAAGCACACACCAGGGGGTCCACGAATCCGAGGTACCCACCCTGCTCCAATTGTTAACTTTTGCTTTCATTCTGCCCCTCTCTGCCTTTGAGCCTAGACTCCTGACCTCAGGTCCAGATGTGAATTGTCAATCCCTACCCCCTCCCCATCCAGATGTGGTTTGGGGTATTTGCCCCCAGGTCCTCTCTTCTGCTTCTAGGAAATGTTTATATCCACCCAACTGCTAAAGTGGCCCCATCAGCTGTGGTAAGCTCCAGGAGATGAAGGGTGGCTATAAGGATGGGTGGGGGCACCCAGAGAGACTGCCTGAGCTGGGGGGTGCTTGTCTCTCCACTTTGTCACAGACCTGTTGTGTTGTCTGGAGCAAGGCACTTCCACATTATCTGTTCTAGGAAGGGATTGGAGCTGGGTACCCCCAAGTCTCTCCAGGACTCTTGGTATATGCTCCTTTCCACAGCTAGGCCCCAACGTCTCAGTCGGGAAGGGGGTGACCGTGGGTGAGGGTGTACGGCTCCGAGAGAGCATTGTCCTTCACGGAGCTGCATTACAGGTAGGCATTCGGGAAACACAGCAGCATGTGGCATCCAAGAGGCTGAGGGGAGGGCCCAGGTTTCCCCCCTCCCCTGCCCCAGAGCGGAGAAGGATGAGCTCCACAGGCTTTGCCTCTTGTCCCTCTCACCCGGTTTTGTACCTGCCCCAACCCACTCACCTCCACCATCCTGCTTGACAGGAGCACACCTGTGTTCTGCACAGCATCGTGGGCTGGGGGAGCACTGTGGGGCGCTGGGCCCGCGTGGAGGGGACCCCCAACGACCCCAACCCCAATGACCCCCGAGCCCGCATGGACAGTGAGAGCCTCTTCAAGGATGGGAAACTGCTACCCGCCATCACCATCCTGGGTATGGTTTCCCTCTGGGCTGGGGCTGGGAAGTGCCACAGGTGATGGCTGGAGATCTGTGGGGAGCATTTGTTCCTCTGTGTGTGTGTGTGTGTGTGTGTGTGTGTGTGTGTGTGTGTGTGTGTGTGTGTGTGTGTTCCTTTAGCAAACATTTACGAGTGCCTGCTGTGTGCCAGGCCTATGTGAGTCACTGGGGGCATGAGGCCAGGGACACAGATGGGCAGCCATCTCCCATGCTGCCCCCAGCTCCCTGCCCTTGTCCCCTCCCCTGACCTGCACTATACCCTACTCCATGCTGCAGGCTGCCGTGTCCGGATCCCTGCCGAGGTGCTCATCCTGAACTCGATTGTTCTGCCACACAAGGAGCTGAGCCGCAGCTTCACCAACCAGATCATCCTTTGAGGGGGGCTGCCAGAAGGCCCCCCAACTCCTGCTCACTCCCCTTGAGGCTGCAGCCTGCCTGGCCAGCCTCTATCCAGAAAGGATTCAAGGAAACAAGGCAGGATCTTCACATGCCGGGAGCGAAGTGGGTGGCCAAGGACTCCAGGCCTCCCTCCCTGCTCCCAAATAAATCCTGGTGAACCTTGGAGCCAGCATGGACTCCGCTTGTGCCTGGGCCGGGGATAGGGCTGAAGGGGGACAGCTGAGTCAGCCCCCCCCCATTAGCATTTAAATTGGAGTCGTTGCTGCGGGCTCATGAATAATGAATCTGGAGCCCTGGTAATCCTCCCCCTCCCACTGCCTCAGCCTCTTGCTCTTCTCTGAAGGAAGGCCCTCCAGGCTCCACAGCCTGCTGGCCCCTGCCTTCACCCCTGCTGTCCGCCTCATTGGACCTGGCTCCAGCAACCTAGTGTAAGATTCTGAGGGAAGGACGAAGGATTTCAGCTGGGCACAGGAGCGGGGAGCCACAGGCCTGGAGGCTGATCACCCCAGCGGCACGCTTTCCTCAGTTCCTGCCGGGCCCCAGCCCTGGACTGTTTTCCGCTTTGCCAGCTCCATCTGCTCCCAGCCTGGCGGGCGAGGTGGGGGTTTTGCCCCCACCTGGGGCTTGGTGTCTCTGTCTCCTGCTCCCCTGGCAGGCAGGGTGGGCCTGGGCTGATGCCAGTGGGAGGGAGTGCACTATTCTGGGAGGCATTGGTCTGGCACTGCCCTTTGGCAGGTTGCAACCTTCCTCTCCCCACCATCTCATGTTTGCCCATGACCCCCATGTGCTCCTTTCCATGCCCCCCTTTCCCCAGCTGCGGGTGCCGAGCTTAGTTGCCAGATGAGCTGGTAATGATCGTAATCTGCTAATTGAGAGGAATCTAATTACCCAAAGAGAATGGGGGGGGGTTAGGGTGTGGGTGGGAGGGAGGAGGGGGTCCTGGCAGCGGGTTGGGGTGGCAGGCAGCAGGGTGCTGAGGACTTGTTATTAGTACCAGGGTCTGGGACAGAGCCCAGGATTTCATAGCTTCCTAAGCAGGCAGTTAGGAAAATGCGTGGGAGAGGGGCTGAAGCTGACCTGGGGACTGGGCTAGATGTGACCTCCCAGGCCCTTCAGGACCTGTAGACTGTTGTGAGAGCCATGGGAATTGACCCAAGGTTTTAGCAGTGCCGACCTGTAACCTGCCTCTCAGCCTCCTTACCCTGTTTTCCTCCAGTCTCTGCCTCCAATCCAGACCTTGTATCATCTCTGCCAGTAGGGAGCTACAGAGGCCCATTTGGTCTGGGGTCATCTTCCCCAGGAAGAGGCTGGAAGAGGGCTGGGCCACAAGGCCAAGCTGGAGTCCCTTCCCTCTCCTCCCCCATCCTGACCCTTCTGTTCCGAGTGGTTGGCAGAGGCCATGGCAGCTTCATCATAAATATGATAATTTAATTATTTTCTCAGCAAAACACCGTGAAATCCAATAAGTCTGTGTCAGGCCCTGGCCCCCGGGACCCCCCTTCTATACCCAGTGGTGGGGGGACATGGTGGGGAGAGGCACTGGAAGGGGAAAGGGTCAGTGATTGAAGTGGTGGGGGGGGCGTGGCTAGGGAAGCTGAGGCCTTTGTAACATGCCCCCAGACTGAGGGGGTCACTGGCATGTGAGTGCGTGCCTAAGGGGAGAGGTTGTACAGAAAAGAGAGCCCTTTTCTGTACTGGGAGGAGCCTAAAGCCACATCCACCTCCAAGGACTAGGGACCCAGGACTGGGAAGGAGGTGCCTTGTCTCTGGAGGGGGAGCAGGAAGCCTCTTTGTCAGCCACCTCTGGGACCCTGCACCCAACCTTCATTGGCCCTGTAGAGGTAAAGGAGTGGGAGGGTGCTGGCCCCAGGGAGGGTTTAGGGAGGGAAAACCAAGAGGGAACTAGGGTGGGAAGTGGGGGATGAACAAGGGGGAGGGATGCGGGGGAGGGGTGTGCTCCTGCCATTAGTGCTTTTTTTGGTTTCCATAAAAAGATTATTCTGTAAAATCAGCTAGGGGGAGCGAGCTGGGGGCTGGGAGGGGGGGTGGGTCTCTGGCACCAAGCTGGATGGGGCGACGGGAGGGGAGCTGGGGACAGGGACCAAGTGTGGAGAGAATTTTGGATGGGCTTCAAGAGGGGAAGAGGCTGAGCCAAGAACACAGCCTGGGGGAGGCTGACCGGGGTGGGGTGGGGCCTGGCCAGCCCTCATCTCCCTCCTGTTCCTTTGGCCAGATTGTCCTGGGTCCCAGTCCCACCTCCATCTTGGTCCCCTCCTCCTGGCACTCAGCAGCCATTATCCGGGGAGCAGATTGAACCCCCCCTCCCCCTCTCCGGGAAGCAAGCACAGCTGGGGCCCACCACATCTGCCGCATCAGCACGGAGCACAGCTGGGTGTGCCTAAAGCCACACTCCCCAACACACAAAGTGGGGGCTGGGGCCAAGGAGAGCCCAGACCCCTGAGACAGACATACTGACACCTCTGCCAACAGACACTCCTCATAGCAAAGCTACACCCACCAACACACGCTCCCTCGTGTGCAGAGAAGAAGAACTGGCAAACACGCAATTACCCGGCCCCGCCTGCCACCCCCGCACCCCTCCTCCAAGCCCCCTCTTTCTCTTTCTTCCCCTGAAGCTGTGTTCTGTCGCCAAAGCCACCTCTGAACTGCCCTGGGCTCTGGTCTGGAGGGAGCAGGGGCCTCACCTGCCCCAAGCACATCTTTCTGGGAGGGCAGGAAACAGTAAGAGGCACCTAGGGTTCACCTTAAGAAGCCACTTGCTTCCTACCAAACCTATAACCCTCTCCACAAAGAAGCTCCCTCTGAAAGTGGTTCTTGCTCCAACCTGGGCATGATGGGGTCTCCATGCTAGCACAGCAGGCTGGGCACCCTTGACCTATCCTGTGACCCACCTGTGTTCCACTGGTTGCCTCAAGGAGGTGCTGTGTGTTCTTAAACTATCAGCTCAGCAGCTCCCCACCCCCCACCCCGCCATCCCCACCCACAGTAATCCCACTGAACTCTACTGTCCTCAGTACATCCCTCTGCTTAGCTTGACTACCCCTAACATGTGCAGGTGTGGAGGCTCCATCAACGGCAGAAAAGTCTTCCTCCCCAGAATGAATGATCAAGAGTCCCTTCTTTACTCTTTTCCCAGTTAATGGTCACCTCCTGGCCCCTGGTTAAATCCTGCCCCATCACATCCCTCATTTTCCTGCTCATCTCCTTGGCCCTGGTGACTTGCCCTCAGCCCTCTCCTCCTCGCCCCTCCCCATCTCACGCTGCCCCCCCCCATCTTGCCCCTCGGAGCTTTAATCCCTCCTGCTGCTGTGCTGCCTTATCTGCTCCCAGCAGCTTTCGCTGCTGCAAAGCCCTCTCCCCCTCCTCTGGATCTTCTCTCCCTCCTTCCCTGCTCTCGCCACTGTCTGAGCAGCAGCGCCCCCTCCCACACTGCCCCTCTGTCACTTTGGCCTCCAGGCTGACACCAGATCTGTGACCCAATGCCCTTTGCCCTTTCTCCAGCCTCAGCTCAAAGGTTGTGGGCTGTCCACGCACTCCCAGGAACCCTCTTCCACCCTAGCCCTCTCGGTAGGCCCCACAGACTTGGTCAGTTTCTGGCCAGCCAGGATTTGAATCTCTTCTTTCCTGGTCCCCAACCCAGTTTCTCCAGAAATCCTGATCTTGGACCCGTCCCCCCCTTCTGTCCTGACTAATAGCATTGACTTTGAGAGTACCCAAATGGTGATGGAGGGTATTGGTACAAGACAGAGGAGAGGGTACTGTGCTGGGCTGGCCCAAAGATGATCAGGGTGAGGTGCAAAGAGTACTGGCGATAGTGAGGGCAGGGTCTGGCTAACCCTCTTCAGTTGCCTCAGATCACGTCTGGGCTTCCCCACCCCCTTCCCCGGGACTCTCATTAACCGCTTCTTCTGCCTCGTCCGCAGCATAAATAACCCAGATAAATCAGCCGCCGTCCGCCCCCCGCCCCTCGGCCCCCGCACAGCCCGTTTGTCACCGCTGCTTGCTCGCCAGCTATGCCTGGCCCCCCATCCTTATCCCTTCCGCCCACGGCTGTCCCACACTGGCTCATCCCCTGGTTAGCACGAGGGCCAGGTTTCGGGACTGGGGTGGGTGGCAAGGGGGTGTCCCCTGGGAGCCAGAGGCTGGGGACTCTGTAGAGAATACTATCCAGGAGTTCCAGGGTCATGTAGTTTATGAATAGAGCCAACCAGGCAGGGAGTCTGTGGCCCACAAACGGTAGGAAGGGGCAGATGTGGCTTAGCTTAGAGGTCCCAGAGCTGTGAGTCTCCTTTGGATTCAAGGGAAGCCCTCGGATCTCCCTTTGGTACATTTTGTCCAAATAAAACCTTTATACCTCCCTTCAGGTGCTCTGTTTACTCCCTCATCCCCTTTCCCCATTCCCAGCCCTATTTCTCTGCTTCCCAGTCATTCATTCTAACATTCTCTTTCTCACTAGGTCATCCCCTGGGTGGTGGAAGTGGGTGGGGAATTGGACTGAGAACAAATCTGGGCAATGGGGACAATGGGAGGGCAGAAGAACCCTGGCAAAGGCTTCACAGCAACCCCCCTCCCCACACAACCAGCTCTAGGATCCCTGACATCCTGTCACTGCTTATATCCAGCACAGGTCCTGGTCAGCTCTCCTGGATGCTTCACTGCAAGAGGCAGCTGGTCCCCTGGGGCTGGGTGGGGGAAGCAGGCAGGGAATGGGGAGCTTGGGCGCAGGGCTGGAGGTGGGGGGTGGGGAAGAAGCTGGGCTGGGCCCCAGGGACCAGCTGGGCAATGAGCCGGGGAAGCAGCCGGGAGGCTAAATGAGGGAGATTATCACCCAACTGCAGCCGGGCAGAGAGGGAGGCAGGCAGGGAATCAGGGAGAGGGGGAGAAAGGGGATGGGGGGAGCAGTGGCAAAAGGGGTGGATAGAGACAGGAAGGGAGCCAGGAGAGGCTAGGGGAGAAGTGGGTGGTAAAAGCCAAGAGATGGATTGGAAGGTTGAGGGAGACACCCAGTGAGCATCGCCAGATTCCTGGAGGTCGGAGAGACTGGAGACTTGGGGACAATTGGAGACAGCTGGCCACTGGGCAATGATGGGGGTGTGCAAATAACTAACTGCTGCTCCATTCCCAACAGCTTGGAGTTCCCTAGGTATTCACCTCAGCTCTCCCCTACCCAGCTACCACCAAACCTCATTCATTTTAGAGGTGGAAGACTTCCTGCTATTCCTCAGAAGGAAAGAGGATGCCATCTGGGCTTATGATGGAGTCCAGTGGGTGGTAGAGAAAGTGTGACCCTGAGATCTCAGTGGATGGCAGGAAATTCAGGGACATACAGGACACCAGGGCAGCAGTGAGTGCTGGGTAGAGATTGGGGGGCAGCTCCTGCTTTCTTGGCAGAGCCCCAGACTGAAGTAACCTTAAAAAAAGCAATTAAGTCACCTTTTTAAAAAAATCTAGTAAAGAAAAATCAATATTGGGAGAAAGGGGAAGAGAGAGAAGGATGGGGAATAGTGGGGGGAGCTTTGGAAAGGTCTGGAAGTCTACCAGGGAGGGGAGAGCCTGGGAGGAGGCTGTCAAGGCATGGGGCAGAGAGAGGGGGGCTATCTGTGGTCACTTGGACACTTGTGTAAGGACACAGTGGCTACTTCCAGTGCCAACTCCCCTCTGCGATGCTGTGTCTCAGTAAGGGGCAGCCCATGACCCCAGGGGTCCTAGCTTCCCAGGTTGGGTAGCCTGCTGACCCACACTCATCAGAGGCTTGTTGGGAAGCCCAGCTGTGGGGCCCTGGGAAGCCAATTTGCTTAAAGGCTTGGGACGACCTATACAAGGCACCATGGATGGCTAGGACTGAGTGTGTGCATGTGTTCCAAGCTGGGGTGAACCTCAAAGGGTCTGCCCTGGCCTTACAAGCAGAGTGGGCAAAGTGGCTTCTTGCTCCCTTGGGAGCCATCCTTGGGCCCCCTCCCTCCCTCAGGGCCAGGCAGAGACTGAGGGGCCAGCCTGACGCAGGGGAGGGGTGGCCATTGGGCAGCGGGTGGACCTGGGGCTCTAATCCCCAGCAGCTGCCGTTTCCCTCAGATCGATTCCCTTCTCACTTTTTTTTTTTTTTTTTTTTTCAGCTGCTGGTTTTGCAGCTTGGATCGATGGAGCCGCCTCCCCCGCCCCTCCGAGCTTCCTCTCCCTGCTGCTCATTAGCACCCCGATTAATCAGTACCCCCTCTTGTCTGGGGTACAAGTGCTTCCTTTCCCATGAAGGCTCGCACTCTCACACAGGGCCCCCCCAAAGCACAAGTGGCTCATTCTTGCCACTCCCACCCTGGGGGCACCAATGTATTCCCTGCTGGCCCGCCACCAGGGGCTCCCCTGCCTGTGTGACAGCCCACATGCCTGCTTCCCCTTCCACAAGAAGACAGAAGCGCACCCTCCCCCCCCACCCCAGGGCTTCCCTGCCCCACTCTGCCAGGTGACAGAACACTCTGGCATCATTTTCCTTAGGAGGGCATTCCCTCCTGTTAGAGCCCTGCACATCTTCCCATTCTCTCCATTACATCCACCTGGACTCTTCCTCTCCCTCTCTCCCTGGGTTTGAGAGCTTCTCTTTGCTCCCAGCCTGCTCACCCAGTACCCTCCCCCCAAGCCTGGTCATGGCAGGGGATTTGGAGAACATTTGAGGAAGCAAAGTGGCCATAGATGTGCAAGTCAGCCAAGGTGGGCCTCTGTGCCAGTCCTATGAGTGACTGGGAATGGGGGCAAAGTGAGGGAGGGGAGCCAATCTCCTTGGTGGGGGCAGAGGTATAGTGGGTGTTGAAATCAGTAGCAAAGCTTTAGGAAAACCAAAGATCTTGGTGGAGTCACAGTTGTCCCTAGTCTGTCTTGCCTGCCCTCCCCTTCCTTCCCCTTTCTCATTCAAACAAGTGGCTCTCTCCTCTCTCTCTCTCTCTCTGGAGGAGTTTCTGGAAGCAGCTGTGAGTGGGGCAGTGGGATCAGGTGGTGGCTGGAGTCGGAGTCAGGGAAGCCAGGAGGTGGGGTACAGAGTGGATTTACCCTTCACTGGGTGTGGTCCAGAAAAGTAGCAAAGAGTAGTCTCAGCATGCCGGGCACAGCACTCTTTCCTGGGTGGCCCAGGAGTGGGCCATCTGGGGCCCCCGCAAGTGGCTAGGGTATAGCAAGAGTTTGGAAAGCAGCCCCAATCCAGGGATCCCTGTTCTGGGCTGGGGGCTTTCCCCTCTCTGGCCTGGCTCCTGCCGCCCGTGCTGCCGGTGAAACGCTGTTGACATGTCCTGAATTATTAAGCACGGGGTGGGCTCCGGAGCACATGCTGAGTGGAGCGGCTGGGGCTGCGCGGCGTGGCGGAGCAGCGCTCTCTCCCTCGCTCACTCGCTCGCTCGCAGGGACACACGCAGGGGCTGACAGCTGTGCTGGTGCTGATAAGGGAAGCCACAAGGAGACGATCGAGGAGAGAGACAAGCGGCAGCAGAGGCAGCAGCGGCAGAGGCAGCACCAGGTCTGCAGAGCTGCTGGGAGTGGGAGTGACGCCCCCACCTCGGCCCCCACCCTGTCCCTGTCCTCCTCCTGCTTGCCCTGAGTTTAGAAGAGCAGCCGCTGTCACCACCACCACTCCGGAGGGCATCAGGGCTGCTGGCCAGGAAGGGACAGTGGCAGTCAGGCTCTGGCCAGTCCCAGCAGTCAGGGACAGATGCCGATCGAGATTGTGTGCAAAATCAAATTTGCTGAGGAGGATGCAAAACCCAAGGAGAAGGAGGCAGGGGATGAGCAGAGCCTCTTGGGGGCTGCTCGGGGGGCAGCACCCCCCCGGGACCTGGCCACCTTTGCCAGCACCAGCACTCTGCATGGGCTGGGCCGGGCCTGTGGTCCAGGCCCCCATGGACTGCGCAGAACCCTGTGGGCACTGGCCCTACTCACCTCTCTGGCTGCCTTCCTGTACCAGGCGGTCGGCCTGGCCCGGGGCTACCTGACCCGACCTCACCTGGTAGCAATGGACCCTGCTGCCCCAGCCCCAGTGGCGGGCTTCCCAGCTGTCACCCTCTGCAACATCAACCGCTTCCGGCATTCGGCACTTAGTGATGCTGACATCTTCCACCTGGCCAATCTGACAGGGCTGCCCCCCAAAGACCGGGATGGGCACCGTGCAGCTGGCCTGCGTTACCCAGAGCCTGACATGGTAGACATCCTCAACCGCACTGGCCACCAGCTTGCTGACATGCTCAAGAGCTGCAACTTCAGTGGGCACCACTGCTCCGCCAGCAACTTCTCTGTGGTGAGTTCTGCCAGCTGGGCCTCCTGGTCTGGGGTGGCCAGAGGCTGGCGCAGGGGCGGGGGGTGATACGTGAGGGCATCCTCCACAGGGCTTCCCTTCCTTCCGCCACCAGAGGCAGGCCTTGTGTCTTCCCCAGCTGGTGTTTCCCTCTGGCTTCCCAGCCCTGGATCAGTGGATGCTTGGAGAGGCTTACCCCAGTGGTGCTGCTGCTCCGGTCCTGTTGCTGCTGCAGTGCCCAGGGCTAGGGGTATCCTGGGGGGTGGGGGGTCCTGAAGCTGGTCACCCAAGGCCAGACCAACTATGCCTCACTTTGCTTTTGCTCCCCTTTTCTCTGGGGCTCCTGGAATCTTCTTCCCACCAATGAAGGTGATGAGTAGGGGCTATCCTGGGGGCTCTGGCTCAGGAGGACTTCTAGGGAGCTGGCCCAGCCAGCGGGCTGGATGGAGACAGTCTTCATGTACACTGGGTGCCAGTCTTTTCTGTCTCTGTCTCTCTCACACAACCCCTTTCACAACGCCCTCACACATCCCTCTTTCATGCTCCCCTCTGCTTGCCAGTGCCCCCTTCCGCCCCCTGTTCTTGCTGCTCCCTGGCCCAGCTCTGCCTCTTCCTCTTGGAATCACTCATTCACTCTATGTGCATAACTCACCCTTGGTGCTGGCACACGCTCACACACACACTCCTACTGCTCAGAGATACAGTTTCCCACACACTCCCTCTCACACACACTTCAGTGTCCCTGTCACTACACTCACGTGCAAACCTGCACACCCACACACCCAGAGAGCTACTCATCTCCATGCCTGTATCCTAGCTCCTAGATTCCAAGGACAGGGGCACACTGTGGATGACATCTCAACTCATAACATTCCCGCCTCCCCCCATATAGCCCAAGCACCGATCCCTGTTCTCCTGTGTGGACTGCTGGTGCCATCACTCACATATGTGCAAATATAAACACACATACCCTCATCAGGAGTTGAGTGTCAGCTCTGGCTGTTGTCCCCTGTACACCTATCACAGTCAGGTGTATGAGTATGGTGGGTGTGTGTCTTGAACACAGTCTGTCTGTCAGGGTTCCATTCACCCACAGTCACAGGCTATTATTCATGGTGTTTGAGATGCCTGCTTCCTGTCCCCAGTCCCCGGTTGGCCCCCAGCATTGTGTGTCTGTGGTTTCATCCTTGTCGCCATTGCCCAGTGCATGTGCAAATGTGTGGAGTCAACATGGTGCCCACTCAGGCTCAGCCTCCAGCAGTGATAGGGTTTTTCCCTCCTCACAGGTCTGCTCTCAATCTCCAGTCTCCAACTTGCTCACTCGCTGCCTCAGTGTCACTGGGAAACATGCACTCCTATCAAGCCTGCAGTGTCTGGGGCTTCTTGTGAGGGGTGAGGGGAGTTAAGCAGAAACGGGTCAGGAGGGAGAGGATTGTGCCAGGAGCAGAATCAGAGGGCATTGGCCTGTTGCACAGTTATATGCCCTGTCTTCTAGGAAAAAAATCACTGCTCCCCAAAGCCAGGACTGGAAGAGTCCCCACAGAGGAGGTGGGGTATGGAGTGTGAGGGTGGCCTTTAGGATCTATGGCTGTCTTATAGCCTCACCCCTGTGTTGGGTGGGAGAAGCCCAGTCTAAGCAGGTGCTGCTGGGGAAGAAATCAATGGGGTCTTTGTCTCCCTGAGTGGAATTTGTGTCCCAGGCTCTGGTTGGGGTGAGCAGGAAAGGGGAAGGGTAATAACACACATCAGTGGAGAAAGAGATGGAGGGGGGCAAGGAAGTAAAGGGAGGCAGACAGAGGGGTTCTGCCAGCTCCAGGAAAGGAGGTTACAGGGACAGGGAGTCCCCTGATCAAGGCCAGAGAGTCCCTGGGAATCCTGGGGAGGGCTGGGAGGAGTGAGGGTGGGTTTCCCATAGGCAGACCCCTTATACCATAGGGCTAGAGAGGGAGGGTGGAAGTTTGTAGGTCTCAACTTCTCAGTGACAGGACAATGAGAGAAAGAGGGTATAGCAAGCACTGGGGACAGAATTCCCCTTTGGGGCTCCTGTTCCCCATGCCCAGCCCAGCCTAGACTCATACCCTTTTGTCCACACCCCATCCCCCATCTGCTGAGTGTAATGCTCCCTGAACCAGCTGTACTAGCCGGGTCTGCTGAAATTAGGGGTTGGGATGGGGCCCATGACCCATGGTAATGGGAAAGATGGGGTGTGTTGCCTGGGTGAGACTGGAGGAGGGTTATGAAGACATGAAGTCGCTGATGAGGACATGAGATTCATAACCAGTTCTGCAGCTCATTTAGAGTCCATGATGGGGGCTTGGGGTCTTTGGTAGGGAAATAGGTAGGCAAGCCAGTTGGGGAGAACCTGCAAGGAAGTTGGTAGTGAAGTAGTCAGTGACCGTGACAGACAGACAGGCTTCAGTCAGGGGCTGTTATGTGTTTTCTGTTGCTTTTCCTGTTTCCTCCTTCCCACTCCCCACTCTGCTGTGACCTTTCCTCCGGAATCCAAGTTAATAAATGTCACATTTTCCAGCCTATTTTTACTCTGGGTAATGTGCCCTCCCCCAGTCCCCTAAGCTGCTGCTCTTGCTTCTGTTACCACTGCAATCACTCTCACCCCCACGCGCCCAAATATCCCCTCATTTACTCCCAGTCAGCTACTCAGCATGTAGTTCTGTGTACCTACTACGTGTTGGACTCCCTGTTATGATCTATGGGGATAGCAAAAAAGAGAAGCTCTAGTTCCCAATTCCTGTCCTCAGGCAGCCTACAATCTCGTGGTAGAGCAGAGACAGAGATACTCAAAAGCTTAAGCAACCATGCAAGAGTTAATCAGCCATGCAAACAGTGTCATAGGTGCCAGGATTAATTGCCAGATGAGGTGCATGGCTGGTAAGAGCCTGAGTTCAGAGAGAGAGAGAGGCCACTCCAGGCTGAAGAGGGCTGGGGAGCCTTAAGGGATGAGGCTGGTTGGCCACAGTTTGGGTAATAGAAGGAGGAGCGAAGAGAGGAGAGGGCCCTGGGCAGTGAGGGTACTCTTTTCCTCTCTGCCCTGCTCACCTCTAGCCAGCCCCCCAGCTCTTCTTTCCCTTTCCCCTCCATGTTCAGTCTCACACCTACCTCTACCTCAACTTTCATCACCTATATGCCTTGTAGGTGGCTCTCCCTTCCTCCCTGATTCCTGCCACCATTTGTACCCTTTAACCCTATGCTCCAAGCCCCCCGCCTTTTTTCCTCCACCATGGCCCACTTTTGGCCTGCCCATATTCTATATGGAACAAATCACTCTTTCCCCAGCCTCATTTAGTTATCCATACAATGCAATGGTGGCTTTAAAATTCAGCATCTCCTCTCATCTGGGACTGTACACTGAAGAGGTGAAGCGTGAGTTTCGATCCTGAGCAAGTGGATTTGAACCTCAGCTCTACTCCTTCAGCTGTGGCATTGGGAAAGTCAAAACACTTCTGTGAGCATCAGTTTCTGTATTTATTAAACAGGATACAAGAACCTAAACATTTGGGGTTGTCATGAGGATTAAAGAGATGCCCACAAAAAACTTAGCACTCTTCCTGGCATGCACATAGTATACACTCCTGCCTGCAAGTGTCAGCTGACATAGTGCCACCACCCCGGCTCCTGACTATCTTTAATCTGTTTCAAGCCTCGCACACTGGTTTCAATCTCTGCTCTGGCGTGTCGCCGCTATCACTTAGTCTCTTCCCTTTGTGAGTCTCAGGTTCACATCCTCCCTGTGCTGTTGTAGCCCTCCCGTTCTATCAGCTCTCCCAAATAGGCAAATGTGCAGGAGTGTGCACACATTCTCTACGTCAGTGCCAGCCAATAGTGCGTTCTGTGATGACGGAACTGTCCTGTTTCTGTGCTGTCCAACATGGTAGCCGCGAGTTACACATGAACAGGCACCTGCGCATTTGAAATGTGATAGTGGCTGCTGCCGTGGACCGTGTAGCTGTCTGTGATCCTAGGAATAAGGCTGGGACAGGACTAGAATTACAGCTGGGACCAAGGACATAGGGGGATGGCTTCGGGCTGTGATTGGAAATCAGCTGTCTACTCTCTAGGCTAAGGTTCCAGGTTAAGCTGAGGATGGAGCCTGTGTCTGGGGGCTTGGGACATTAAGCTGTCTGGAAACACCATACAAGCAAAGGCACCTTTCTTTCTTGAGGCAGCCACAACCTCGGTCTTTTCCATTCCACTGTGTGGAAAATTGAGGCATAGCAGAGGGAGAGAATCTTTAGGAGGCAGGGGCAGGACCTAGTTCCCCTCCGTGGGGTTTCCAGGGGTCCAGACAGCCCCTCAAGGGGCAGGAGGCCAAATCCCTGTGGGCACCTCGCTGTCTTCATCCCCTCTCGGCTCCCAGGCTTCCCTCCCCCTCCCGACCCTCCTTCTGCACACGCTGGTGACTGCCGTGACTATTAATCACTCGCCCTGTTCTCTTCCTCTCTACTAATCAGGCACAATTAGACAAGGCCTCTTACAGCTGGGCAGTCCCCCTCCCTGTCCTTCCCCCCCCTCCCAGCCCTATGCAACTGCCACCCAGGACAGCTCTGAGGCAGGGGACAGCATACAAGCCATCTACCATTCTCTGGCTGCCCCATCCCCAGTGTGGACCTCCTCAGCATTCCCCTCCTTCTATCCCAGATTCCTCCTTAGCCCTTTCTTTCCCCTGATGTAGTCAGGCTAGTATTGAGTCTCTGCTCCTGACCCCTGCTCTCGGCCATGACTACTCCGTGCTCACTCCCAACCCCATACTTTGTCTTTGGGTCTGAGGGTCCAAGGCTGCACTTTGCCCCTCATGACTTTGGAAGGGAGGGGATTCCTGCTGAGGTTGGTGCAAGCCTCTCATCTACTAGATGAAATTAACGCTGACCCACATCCCTTGTCCAGCCCTCTGTCCCCTCTGGTCCCATCTTCTCCTGAGGTGTGAACCTTGAGTGCTTTTCTTTCAAATCTAGCTCAGGGTTGGTCCTGCCTTCAGGAGCTGGGGGAAGAGGGGTCGAGTCAGTGAGGGCACACAATGGGGAAGATTGGGGTCCGAGAGGATCAGAGCTCATTTAGCTTGGAAGTGGGCAGCTGCTCCTCAAATTCAGCTAACTGGTACTCTGTGTGAGGGTGCCCAGTGTTGTTAGGTCTTCCACTTCGTCCAAAGGAGCTCCAAATCTTGCCTAGTTCAATAATTTTTTTTCTTGACTTTAAAAATACTGAGGGACTGTTTACAGCTTAGATTGCAGAACCCAGCGGTACTTTCTGGTCCAGCCCAGCCACCTCTTACTCCGCACTGGCTGCTGCTCCTCAGGCCCTCCTGGAGGGGGCGCTCTCAGTCCGGCTGCTTTGGCTGTGGAGTTGGTGGAGGGGGAGTTGGGAAGTGTGCCTGCAGAGACAGGCAGGGACTGTTACTGTCACAGAGGGCTGGTGTGTGAGGGCAGTGGAGAGGGTCATGAGGGACGTGCCCCACTGGGCCCCACTCAGCAGCCCTGTGGCCTCTTCATTAATCAGGAATCAGCCCCGAGCTGGGCTCATTATCAGCTCAGCTTCTCGTGGCACTGCTGGAAGATGCTGATTAGCATTTGGAGAAATGGCCCCTATGTACTGTCCCCCTCCTGTCCTCCCTCTTTTTCCCCCACTGGTGCTCCTTCCAGGACCCCCATCCCTGCCCTTCTGCTTCCTGGGAGGAACCTGCTCCCTCTTGTGGCTGGCAGCCGGGCTGCCTCCTCCAGATCCGGGCTGGCTCAGGAATGCGGAGGCAGGAGGGCCCCAGGAGCAGGGAGAATGCCCAGCTTGAAGTCTACTTACTGGTCCAAGGCACCCAAGGCAGTGGGTCTTACTGGGGGAGGGAAGGGGCGAAAGCGGGTGGAGCCTGAGGTGGTCCAGGAGAGATGGACAGCACGCTGGATGAGGGGAGGAGGAAAGGAGAGGGCAGCCTCAGGCTGGGAGTTATCTGTGTTCCCTGCCCTTCCAGGCTCTTCTGTAGCCACCTCCTTTTGAGCAGCTGGGCAGAGGAGGTGGGGACAGCCAGATCGTGGGTGGGAGGCCTGAGGGGAGAAGACCTGCCAGGGTGGTTTGGTTTTTGTTTCCCTCACCTTTGGCAAATCATGGTAGAGGCTTAAGGTTTTCAGAGCCTCTCCCCGCCCCCCAGGTGGTGGTGGTGGTGGTGGTGGTGGTCTAGCAAGGGGGTCTAGTTCCCGAGGGTGGGAACAGGGAAGTTCAGATGCTGTGTGTTTTCTAGGCAGGGGTAGGGGTTTCTGCACTTCTGCCCTTGACTCCCAGGCTAGGGGCTAGCAGCGCTGGAAATCCATCCCACCCCCCCAAATGTTCACCGTGCCCTTGGGACACCCGCTTTGGGTTGGAGGGGGAGCAGTTCCAGAGAGATAGGCAGAGGCTGCGGCAGCCCAGGCAGCAGCGAGAGTTCAGAGAGGAGCCGCGGGATGATTAAGGGGAAATGGAGGATTGATTTAGGAGGAAAGATTAAAGAAGCTAAATCCGTGGCGCTTGGCTCAGCGGTGACTAAGCGTGGACAGGATAATAGCTTACAAATGTGTGAAAGGTGTAAATACCAAACGGGGGGAGGGGAGGCGGCTCAGCGGGACAGGGGGCTGGGCAGACCATCCCCCCAAGGCTGGGGGCCCGTGGACCACTGTTCGGTGGCAACGGCTCTTCCCTAGAGGGCTGTGGGGAGTGGGAATAGGGTGTTTGGGAATCCCGGGTTCCAAGCAGAGGTACATTTCTGGGGTGCAGCTTCCCAGGCCTTGGGCTGACCGCCACGTCTCACTCCCATCCACCCGACTGGAGAATTTGAGATCGCGGGTTCAAATCCCACCCCTCAGCACCAGGCCTTTCGGCTGTTCTCAGGTTCTCCAGCTCTATGTCCACCTCCTCCGGACCCCGCCCCGCTGCCTGCAACCCGGCCGCGGCGGACGACGGTGTCTCCCTCCGCGGTGGAAGCCTCTGGCGCTGGTGTGTTGCCGCCCGTCGACCGTCACTTTGCCAGAGGTAGCCGGGAGCCGGGTGCGGCTGAATGCAAAATGAGGCAAAACCCAGGCGATGGGAGCAGCCGACGCCCGGAGGAGAACGGGACCGGCGAGGGTCGCCCCTGCGCGCCGGTGATGAGGATGCTGACTCCGCAGGAGGCCAGCGGAGGCCGGCGTGAAGAGCGCGGCCGTGGTGTGCGGGCCTCCAGGGCGGGCAGCCAGGAGGCGGCTGCCAGGGGTGCGTGAGCAGTGATGATCTAGTGGAGGGCTGGGAAATGGTGGGGGCTGCGAGGAAGGTTCGCTACGTGGGGCCACCATCCACCAGCCCACAGTCGCTCGCGGTCCGGTCTCGTTCTCCCCGCCCCCCAGTCTTGTTAGGAGCCAGGATCTCCCGCCCGATGTGGGTGTGTGCTCCACCTTGTGTAAGCAAAACTCTTCACAACTTTGCATCAAGGGGTGGGAATGTCAGGGAAGGACTTGATTACCAATTAAAAATATTCTCGCCTGCAAAATTGACTTTCTAGAGTTTTCGGCCTGAGTGGTGGCTGCCTGGGAACCGGGTCCTGGAGTCCAGTCTTCTCTTCCCGCATGGGAAGGCGACAAGTGCTGGGGACCACAGTATGTTCCCCACCTTTTTGGCGCGGGTGATCTTGGTGGGGCGGGGGCAGGTGGTTTACGCTGGAATGGGGGGCGGGCCTTAAGACTCCTCGTCACGTTCTAGTACCTCTACGCGGAGATGATCAGAGTGCTTCTCGAGTGCGCTGTCTGACCCTCCTGACTCACACACGCGCGGGCGCTGGGTAGGCATTAGGGGGCGGGAGCGAGGGGCAGCGGGTGGGGGAGGACGGCCTAGCTGGGGAGCGGGCGGGCGGTGTGGGCGGGGGGGGGGGGGCGGACGTGGCGGGTGAGGGGAACGGGGAAGGGGGGGGGTGGGGGGGGCGTCGGGGTGCTCGGGTCGAGGGGGGGGCGGTGGGGAGCGGGGGGGGGGGTGGGG